TTTGTAGAGTAAGTGAGCCATGTGTTTTAAGAATTACATATTTGGAGGCTCATTGTGTCAATGATTCGTAGAGTAAGTGAACCCTAACCCAGATTGTGTTACTTATGTATATTTCGTTTATGTAAATATTACCATACATTTATTCAAACACTCCCAAATTGTGTAAATAAATAAAACACTAATGTGGGTCATAAGCTTCACTCCCAATTTGTTCAATCCAACAATAATAATTACAGAAAGACACCTTTAATTAATTGTTTATTGAAGGTGATCTGATCAACTAAATACAATTAGTTCCGCACTAAAAAAACTTAGTTCCGTTTGGTGTCAAGGCAACACTAAACACTTTTATTTATTTTCATTGTAGTTTTTATATGCCTACTTTTTTAACAGCATCCCTTTGCATCTTGGTCTATGCCTTCTATCCCTGCGCCTGCATCATTGGACCTGCATATTGCATATCTGCATACATTGATATATACAGCAGACATCCCTATGGTCCCCAACGTCACAGTTGCTACGTTTGCTGATGACACCGCACTGTTGTCGAGTCATGTGGACCCTCAAGTCGCTTACATAAATCTACAAGCTGCCTTCACTGAACTCCAGTATTGGCTTAAAAAGTGGAGGATAAAAGTCAACGAAAACAAGTCCAAACATTGTTTTTACTCTGAGAACAGGGTACAATCCTCCTGTAACCATTAATAATGTAGCCTTAACAGAGGCAGACAGTGTAAAATATTTAGGTCTAACTCTTGACAAAAAATTAAATTGGAAATCTCATATCTGGTGCAAGAGACAGCAAATGGAATTAAAACTTCGTAAACTCAATTGGCTACTAGGTACGAATTCAAAATTATCATTGACTAACAAAATTTTACTGTATAAAGTTATGATCAAACCAATTTGGACATACGGAATTCAACTTTGGGGGACCTCGAGCAAATCCAACATCGAAATTCTTGAACGATTTCAGGCTAAGGCACTGAGAAGAATTATTGGCGCACCCTGGTTCGTATCCAACACTACAATTAGGAATGACTTCAAAATTAAATCAGTGAAAGAAGAAATTACAGGCCTTAGCAAAAATTATCAAGAAAAATTAGAATATCATCCGAACAGTCTTGCTGTTAATCTGCTGGACAATAGTCAGTGCATTACCAGGTTAAAAAGTGTTGTGCATGTGCTGGACCTAAGCTACAGATTTCTGTAAATGTTTAAATGACTGATCAAATTTTTGGCAAGACTTGTTGATGAACAGGTGCTTGCTTCCTGACATTGTTTGATATATGTTTTACTTATTGTTCTCATATTTGAAGTTTGAACAGATTGTAAAATAAATTCTGATAAAAAAAAAAAAATCATTGGACCGTCTAGATGTATACCGTAGCGGGTCTGTACGGGAGGGATAAAAGAGGCAACGATGACATCATAGTTTAGTTCAAAATTCCTCCGTCATTAGCGTTAGTAGAGAGCACAGCGCGTAATTTTATTTCACTATTAGGGGAGTATGTTTTATCTATGCTATTAGTTAGTTATAAAATTAAGAAAAAATTAATCTTATAGTTTCTCAATTGTTAAATTTAACTGTCATAACCTAACCAAACTTGCTGATAATGAAAAAATCGAGTGAAGGTTTACTAATCGAAAAAATAGTTTTGTCCATAAAATAAAATCATAAATAATTTTTAATTGTAAAATTAAAATGTCATAACCTAACCAAACCAACCAAACTTGCTATAATGAAAAAAATTGTTGGCAAAAAGTTAGTGCTACCATTGGGATTCGAACCCGGCACCTTCAGATTATCAGCCCGACAAGCTATCCACTACACTACCGAGGCCGTTGGTTCAATACCGTATCGTTGCGGTAAAGGTGTTCCCTCAAGAGAAGAGATCTGACAGCTGACGTCATCGAAGGCTCTTCTATACCTCCCTTGAGTAAATACCATACCGTAGATATGCTGCTGCTGGGCTGCTGCACAAAACTGGAAAAGAAATATAGGTTGGCTTCACCATCAGCTTGCCATCTGACACTGGCAGTACTTCGAATTGTGTTCCAGCATCTCTCTAGGAGGGCTATTTATTTAAGAATATAGATAAGATTTATTTGAATATTCGTCCAGTTACAGTTCTGCTGCAGTTTTTGTATTTTCCTTCCACCATTGGGTGGCCTATAAGCAAAAAGAGGTTAAACTCGGGCCAGCCTTATATATTGGCCTTTGGCCACCCTTAGGTGGATTTGAATCCTATATTCCATCCCATATATATGTGGGAAGAAATTTTGTTTTTTTAAACAATATTAGTTCTCATATACTCCATCAAAATATTATATAAATAAGATTGGCCAGTCCTTTGTTCAAAAATGAAGGCGTTCACTTCTAGTTTTTGCTGGATCAAGGTTTATATTTTTTTAGATCTAAAATATTCTGTGATGCAGCTGGGTAACTATGTTTTTACCCACATCTATATTTTTGATCGTTCTAGAAAGCGGAGCAGCTGATACACTATGTGTTTCCTTTTGCTGTGTCAGGAAACTCCCCCTTATCTCAGATTTCTTCTTCTCTTAAATCTGCATTCTTCGTGTATCCCCCGGAATCTATTTCTTTTCCAAAAACGCCTTGAAAAGATTCTAATATTGATAAAATTCCATTCCACAATTTTCTTTTTATCAGATTTAAATAGGCATTGTATATAGTCAACACCACAAAGAAAAGGAGTATGGTATAGAAGAAACGTCAATGGTACACTTACAGTAATAATGCTTTGGTGTCTAGAGCAAAGTCCCACACCACCCCCTTGCAATCATGTAGGCTACTACAATGCTCACACCGTGGAAAAAGAACCTATGCCCTGGGCGATAGGAATAGTTTATTCACAGTGCTCGCCTTTCGGACTCTTCCTTGCTCGGCACAAGTATATTTCCAGCACAACATACACCAGAGCTGAAAGTGCATGGTCTTCCCATAAGCGTGTATCCTCTGCATATCTCACTTCTCTGTGCTACACCAATTTTGTGAAAAAGGCTTGGTATTAAATTTAACAATCTATATATTAATTTGAAACTGTTTTTCTTTGTCACAGCTATTTTGAGAGAACGGCTGGGCGTAGAAACTCGGTAGGGTGTCTAAAGAAATGTCTTGGTCTGTAGATGAGCCATCAAAAGAGAAACATGGTGAATTCCCTTGGGGCTCTGCCCCCGTGGCCTTTAAATTCCCATCCCATGTTATTCTTATGGAGGAAAACGGGGTTTTTGTCATAGCTAATTTGAGAGAACGGCTGGACGTAGAAACTTGGAAGAGGTCTCTAAAGAAAGGTCTTGGTCTGTAGGTGAGCCATCAAAAGAGGAAAAAGGTAAATTCCCTTGGGGCTCTGCCCCAGAAGCCTTTAAAGTTGCCTCTTCAGATTTGTTTAAATTACGACCATATGCATAATTATACACTACTTTTTAATGCAACAGCTGTTATATTGTGATTTATTGAATTTGTCAAAATGAAGTACAGTATTTTTTTGCAATGGATTTTTCTGATTTTAAAATTGATTTTCTTCTGCATTGTGTCATGTTTTGCAATATAATGTTCTATTACCAAATCAGTGGAAAATCCTAATATCACAGTAACTTTTAAAATTATTTCTTATGGAGTTAACTTATATCTTTTGTATGGGTTGGTTTCTGTTTTTTTTTTACCACTTCTTGGAAATCTATATATTAATTTGAAACTGTTTTTCTTTGTCACAGCTATTTTGAGAGAACGGCTGGGCGTAGAAACTCGGTAGAGGTGTCTAAAGAAATGTCTTGGTCTGTAGATGAGCCATCAAAAGAGAAACATGGTGAATTCCCTTGGGGCTCTGCCCCCGTGGCCTTTAAATTCCCATCCCATGTTATTCTTATGGAGGAAAACGGGGTTTTTGTCATAGCTAATTTGAGAGAACGGCTGGACGTAGAAACTTGGAAGAGGTCTCTAAAGAAAGGTCTTGGTCTGTAGGTGAGCCATCAAAAGAGGAAAAAGGTAAATTCCCTTGGGGCTCTGCCCCAGAAGCCTTTAAAGTTGCCTCTTCAGATTTGTTTAAATTACGACCATATGCATAATTATACACTACTTTTTAATGCAACAGCTGTTATATTGTGATTTATTGAATTTGTCAAAATGAAGTACAGTATTTTTTTGCAATGGATTTTTCTGATTTTAAAATTGATTTTCTTCTGCATTGTGTCATGTTTTGCAATATAATGTTCTATTACCAAATCAGTGGAAAATCCTAATATCACAGTAACTTTTAAAATTATTTCTTATGGAGTTAACTTATATCTTTTGTATGGGTTGGTTTCTGTTTTTTTTTACCACTTCTTGGAGATTGTACGTAGTTGATATTCTTTGGCATATTGCATCTGTTAGACGAAACTTGGGTTGGTGTAATTATTACAATGGAAAAAAGCGAGAAATCCTGGACAATTTGATATAGGCTAAAAATAAAACTGAATTAACACTGTGCTACATTTCTTGAGCAATCATTGAAATAACCGATTTGCAAACAATGGAAACATAGAAAAAGTCATAGAACACAACCAAGTAGAAGAAATAGAAATAATGTTTTTTTACAATAAAAACACTATAAAAACAAGATCAGCTTTTTGAAAAAAGATAAGATATTTACAAAAGATTTTGATTATATCTAACTGTTGTGTAGATCGTGAGTATTTCCATAATCTTTAAGTCGCCTGTAATGCTTCGCAATTGCTCGAATTCGAGCAACAGGTACACTAGTAAGAGATGAATCCTAAGATTCTTATAGCTTAGAAGCAAAAGAATGTTGTATAATAAACACACCTTTCTTTTGCTTCTAAGCTAGAAGATATTAGGATTCATCTCTACATTATTGTTAAATTTAAGTAGCTTAGAATTATATTAATTAGCGTGCCTATACCAGTTTAAAAGTTACAAATTGTGGCACTATACATGTATACAATTTGAATCACAGTCTCCAGGAATCACAAGCCAGTACAAGTTTAGTGATTATATTTACAAACATATTTACATCAGAGATTAAATATTAAAAGTGCATACAAAAATAGAAGGAAAAACTATAGTTAAAATGTCGGCTCTTCTGCTGGCAAAACTAATCCTAAAACGTGTTGTAGTTTTCTCTGCAGCTTAGCTGAAACACATTTCATGTAACAATTAATTCTAATTATTCTAATAGCTACTTGGCAATAAAAAGAAGCTGAAACATTATATATCTTAGCATTGACTATATTCTTAGTTTTTCACCCAACTTTAAAAGACTTTAGTTCAATTTCGTAGGACCAAGACTAAAGTTTTATCACTTATAATAATTCTTACCGTAACTAACAGGGAAGTAAAAATTGTGTGTTAATTTGTTACTTCTTTGTGAGGGTTTATATTATCGTATTTATTTATAAATTGGTTTAAATACCTGCTGCTTTGTAATCAATTTTTTTTACAGCAGGTAAAAAACCAATTTATATATTCAACATAATATGGAGGCTAACATCAAAAATGTTTATATTTAGGTACGGTACTTGTTACTAGAAGATTAGGCCAGTATAGGTTTGATTTTGTTAATGATTGGAACCAGAGAACACAGGCTTACCTATTATAGTATAATACAGTGGGATGAGGTTTTTTTTCAATAGAAAACTCATATGTACGCTCATAACATTAAAATATTTCATGGTCACTGTCTACTCTTTTGTACTGAATATAGAATATGAGTACTATTTGGCATTAAATGTAAAGCAAATTCTAAAATGTTTATACCGAAACAATAGTTTGGTTTGTTCTTTAATGATATCAATATTCAACAAAATAAGGAAAGTTAAGATTTTTTTTTAAGTAGTTTTTTATGGTATGGACAGAATATCTATTTCTCTTGTGTTGTAGATATATTTTAATGACTTCAAGTATAGGTACTATCACTTTTTATATATTTGAAATTTTTAAAAGTTGGTTGATAGGAAGGGCCAGACTCAAAGTTCAGGGGTGTAACTATATAGCTTATTGTGCATTCGCATTCATACTAATATTAATTTTTCTCTCCCTAAACAGGGCCAAACCATTTTCTTTCTCTTATCTTGAAATCAGTTGACCTGACTCTGTTTTCTCAGCAGATTAATAGACGTAAAATTGACTATAAATGGATCATATTTTATAAGTATGCATTGGGTTTTTTGTTTGTTTTGTAATATTTTTACAACTTACCAAGGCTAGAAAATCGTAATTTTCTGAAGATAAATATGTAATATATGACGCTCGATGAGGAAACACAGACCAGGAAGATGAGAATAATTCTTAGCGGACCCGTGACTAACGAAGTGACAAACAGATGAATTGAGAGCATTGCCATAAGAACTGGGATTGCTGTTGGAACCTGCACAAACGGAAATTTAAAACTTTAAGCTTTAAATGAAATACAAAGTTTGTACTACACAATCAATAATTATGGATTAACTAGAAGAGTACCCGTTCTTCGTATGGGGTTGGCGTGAGTATAAAATGCGTATACTCGTGCTTTAAGTTTGCAATGCGGGAGGATAAGGTTTGAGAAAATTTTTTTCTTTATATTTACGGTATGCTATAGTATTACACATCTACCATAGCCATACTGTTCTACCACTGCACCGATTGAAAAAAGTAAACTATCAAACATTTGTACAACATAAATTAAATATTAAATTAAAAACAAAAACAACACCTACTTTGACAGTTCTCAGCGTATCACAGCTTTTTGATGCTGCACTTCAAATTAGCTGTTATCATAATTGTAAAAAAATAATTGTTGGTAAACCTTATAATCTTTTAATGCTATTGAATAACCAACTTGTTTCGTTGAATCAGCTGGTGAAATTATTTAATTCCTGTTAAGTAATGTGATTAGGCTACCCTTAAGGTTAACATAGAAAACTCCAGAGCCACTGGGGCGGAGCCTGAAAGGATTTTTGAGATAAGAATATGCTCGGAAATGTGAGGCATCATCATGCAAAATTTCAGCTCAATCTGACCAGTAGTTAAAGCGTGATTGAACTTCAAACAAACAAACACACAGAAATGTAATATTTAATGTAGGTATTGCAAAGTGTTTTATGTGTTTTAAGTGTTTTTATTCTAGTACATCAATGGTGGAAGTTCTAAAAATAACAAGTTCTACTTCTTCAGGAAAAGACTAAATACAATAAAAAAATCAATATAAATAAATATAATTACCCGGAATGGACGAGGTGCATTTGGTAGTTGTTTTCTCAGTACCAAAACACAAGCCATAGCCATGCCGTAGGAGAGCCAGATGAAGAATGCATAAGTGTCTATGAGAGCGTTAGCATTACCTCCGACTACAAAGTAGAACAGGAGGGCAAGTAAAACCTGCAATATTTGTGAGCTTTTGATAATTTCAGGAGAATTCCTCATATCATAGAACCCAGCACTTAGAAATCAGAAGTGTTTAATACTGTACATACAGATAAACTTTATAGTTTTAAAGTAACTACTTTCCAACCATCGAAACTTTTGACTTTTCCAAGGATTGACACGGTAACTTTTTGGCTACAGCATTAGGCGAGAACTATTACCTTTTAGCTACCCGAATGCTATAGCTACCTGAAATATAACCGCTGGGGCCGGCGTTTGGCGAGACTTGTGGATGCAGCACATAAAATCCATCATGTGCCCTTCTCGAGCTGCCACATAGCCTAGTCTGAAACAAGTATATGTGTCGATTTGCTTATTTCTTTAAACAAAATTGGGTTGGTGGATATGGAGAATGTAACAATGCTACATTCAATATGGACTCCATTCATCAACTCCAACTGTGACTATGATTTAAAAAATAAAAATGTATCTTAAAGACTTGAGAAGTAATTGGCCCAATTACGACGACACTGCTGCTATTGGTAAAATTGATACTGCACAGAGAAATTTTTTTGTTTCTATAAAATATGCCAAGAGACAACAATCTATTATATATTACTTATTTAATACGCAAGCAGGATTTTTGTGACAATTACTCCTCCGAAACTACTGAACCGAATGACATGTTTTTGGTCTCATTGGAAAGAGCGTAACGTGAAGTTGTGCAGGAAACTTTCTTTTTAGGGAAATAATTAGAGAGTGAGGCCCTGGGGCCCTTTAAATTTTCGTATTTCTTCATAAGATTAACATGGGAAACAAAAATTGTAATGAAACTCCAGCTGTTGTCAGAAATAAAAAGTGAGAAGAAGAACATATGTTGATTGTAAACAGTCAATAAGTTTGCTAATTTAATAGTTTGCTACAAACATTTACTGACTTGGTTGAAAATGAAATGTTTACTATTTGAATTTGGGTTGGCGTAAATATTAGAATGGGAAAAAGCGAGAGAGCCTGGATAAATTTAAATCTTAAAAAGAAAACTGAATTAACACCTGTGCTGCATTTCTTAGTAATCATTGAAAGAGACGATTTGCAAACTATGGAAACATATGAAAGTCATAGAACACCACCAAGGAGAAGAAATAGAAATGTTTTTTTTTTAGAATTTATAATCGTTATTATGGGCAACCTAATGGGGCTTTGAGTAAGGCTATTCGTAGAAAATACTAAAAACAAGATCAGCTTTTGAAAAATGATGAGATATTTACAAGAAATTTTGATTATCGATCTTTCTAAATACTCATTATGTACCTACATCATGAGTATTTCCAAAATCTTTGAGTCGAATCTTTTAAAGTCATCAGAAATTATGACTGTTATTCATTTTAATACTTAGCAATTGCTCGAATTCGAGCAACAGGGACACTAGTTATAATTATTTCTCTAACTTAGCATTGTTTTCATTCTAATAAATTAATGATGAATAACAGGTATACTTGTAGATATTCCCAGTAAAAATCATAACAAATTCTGTTTTACATTATAAGTATTAATATTACCAGTATCTAGTCAATGATATCACATAAGTATATTTCATGTAATCAGTTTGTTACTCTTTGTTTCTAAACATCAGAGGTCTGAAGCCACTTCCTGGAGACTCCAGAAATGAACTTGGCAACCCATGTTGTACTGAAATGTTTATCCAAATAAATCTCATTGTTAAACTGACTTGAAGTATTATTTATGTTGCATGAATATCAGACAAATACACATCATATAAAGGCTCTACCAAGGAACCTAATAAATCTACAACCCTTAGAGCTCAGATGCTAAAGAAACCATAATCATTAACCAAACTTCCTTTTACAACAAAAACGGCTGAAAAGCTACACAAGCTATACAAGTGTGCATTCAAGATATGAGACTCAAGCTTAAAACTACTACGCTTTTACTTTTGGTTGACCAATTGTTAGCTTTGGTACACCCTCTTAATCATTGACTGAGTAGTCTCATTATAAAGAATACATCATTGATGGCTAGGTCAGGCCTAGTGTACAACAAAATGAGGAGTTCACTTGTCTATGACAGAACTTTATGGGAGATGATCAGGAGAAATTGATGGAATGTGTGGAGTCTTTGTTAGTTCCAACCAGGCATTTTGTTTCTTTTTGTTTATTTGCTGTGTGTGTATCCACTAAAAACTAATTTTAAAATCTCCCATCTATTCAGTTCCATCTGTAAACAGCTAAATTATTTCTTGTATGAGTGTAACATAGCTTAAAAATATGATTATAAGATGTAAATTTGTAGAACATCTTACCGAGAAGCGTAGAATATTCCAGACATGATGCTTGTCAGAAGAGCTAGGCAAATTATAACAGCTGATATTGCTCCTCCGGCTACACCAAACAGTTTGATTGCAAATTGCTGTAAACCAATTGTAAAAACTTCAACAAATACAATACTAAACACGTCAAATGTAAAATATTTTACACGTTTTCCAGTATCAATATTTTTTAAAGAGAAAACTTATCTTTATATTTTCTAATCACTCAGTTGCTATCTTTATATTTTGCAGTTTATTCATTTTCTTATATTACACATATACTATTTACGTACTGCTATAACTGTGGAGCCGTTAGCAACTTCATCTGGAGTAAGAACTGTCAAGAATGTCACATTTAGCAGAACATATGTCAATGTAGTTATTGTAAGACCAATCAGAATACTCCTCATTATATTCCTGAAACATAGGAGAATTTAGTTTAGTATTTAACAGCTAGTTAGTTGAGTCAGTGGCATAGCAAAAGGGGGTGGGGTAACAATATGATGAAGAGTAAAATTTCATAGAGGATAGAAACTTTTTAAACCAGCATTAAAATTAGGTTAAGTTTGGGAATTGCCTAAGTTTTCTGTGGCCGAAATCACTCTCTGTCGCTATAGCCAGGGGAAAATTTCAAAAAAGCTACCCCCTCCCTTTTTAGAACTCCCGCTGAAGGGTGGCAAATAACATCAGGTCTGGGTACCAAGAGTCCAAAATGTCTGAGCAGGATTGATAATGTGTTCTAAATGAGGTTTCTTGTAATAAAGAGTCCTTGCTAGTATTCCTGAGCGAAACAGAAACAAACTTTTTGAGACTGGAAAAGTCATCTAATATTTTTTTCTTGGAAAGGATTTTTGTACAAACTGAATCAGCCATTTGATGATGGGCTATTGAATAGATTGAAGATATTCGTAAGAATTAGAAAGGAAAAACACCCTTTAGACTAGATAAATCTTTCATAATCATTTTTACTTACTTTTCTGGGTTTTTCATTTCCTCGGTTATATTTGTGATAAAACACCTGGAAAAACATTCAGAGAGAATTAGCTAGTGAAGAATGAATAGCTGGTTATGGTATTATTGTAACATAAAACATGTTGGAAAACACATTTTTTACTTCAAATCAGTGGAGTAGTTGTAAATTTTCTAGTGCCGGAACGCTTACTATTGTCTCGGAAAAAACACACGTGTCGCCTATTATATATTTGAATTTTTTTTAAAGCAGAATGGGAACACCGTTCCCATGTTTTCCCAGCCTACTACACCACTGCTTCAATTATACTTCTAAATAAACGGTAATCTATAGTAATCTACATACTTTTCTCCCATTGTCAACAATCCTCATCATGGGTAAGCAATAGGAGTAATTAAATAACTTCTTAATTAGCATAATGCGTGTTAATTTGACAAAAGTAAATAAATATATGTCTTATAACATTTGAAACATATATTTTTATTTGTACTTTTTTAACAATACGGTAAATGTATATGAAAGATGATAGTGGTGGTCGATTTCGATTGGACCCTAATCATCAGACCCAATAGGGGAATGTTTGGCTAATTTCGGTACAAAATCTCAAAAATTATAAAATTCTTGAAAAATAGTCCTAGAAATAGTATAATAATATTCCGTTTGTGAATTAAATTGCATAGCTGCAACAGTTTATTAACGGTATTTTAAAATCTGAGACATAGCAGTAAAAACTAACTTGAATTATTACAAACTTCATTCACAGAATTGTTGGTTTCAAATAGATTAAGTAATTAAACTGTGCTTTTCACCATATGTGATGTGGAAAGCGAAAAGGGACCTCTTGTCGGCGATGCAAAATTTTCAGTACGGCTGATACAATTAAGTAGGGTAATTAAGGTCGAAAATATCAAAATTCAGTTTATTATCGATTGTTATACCTCATTTATCATAGAACAGGACGGCATCGGTTAAAATATCGAATTGAAGACGTAAAAGGTAAAAATAAATCATTTAGTTAGCCTCTGCACGGTCTGAGAAAAGACCTCTTGTCGCTCAATGGTATTTCGCCATAACGACAAAAGGTCCCATTTATAATATTCACTTTATAAACAGACTTTAGCCCAAAAAATGAATTGTCCTGCATTCTAGACAAAATTTAGAGAACTACAACAAAGTTCAGAGTATGGGGAACAAAATAACTCAAAAATTTTGCAATCCCGACAAGAGGTACCTTTTCTTATCTTATGGAGAAATAACATAGGGCCGACAAGAGGTCCCTTTTCTGAAATGCGATTTTTACGATATGCTTCAATAAAAGAATTATTTAAATGAAAACTACCAGGAGTTAAGGCAAAAATTGGTTTTGCCTCCAAAGAGGACATTATAAGCTTTCTTTTGATACCAAAATCGTTTCTTAAATAAAAAAAAACACTGTTTTTATGCGTGTTTGAAATTTTCAAAATGGTTTTTCTCAAAACGACTCTTTTAAAAAAAAAATGTCAAAGTCCTATAATTTTAACAAAAAAAATCATAGATACATGGGACTTGCACTAAGTGATTAGGAATTTAATAAGGAATTCAAATATATAAATAACTCAAAATCGAAAATTCCCGACAAGAAGCCCCTATTCGCTTTCCACATCACAAATTCTGTATCCAGTACCACTATATCTAAAACATCTTATATTTCATTACTATTTCCATATTTTAGCGATTATTTTGCTAATTTTTTTTTATATGTTCAGTCCCTATTATTTAGGACTATTAAGACTACAGGATTTTTAGGTATATATTTTACATCTAACTTTCCTACCCTCCATCATAAGTGTAAAGTCCAAAATACACTGCTTGAGTGATAGCTGTTACAGAATAGTTTGTTCCTTCAAATCCTGGGTCGAACTTCAGGGATCGCCCTGAAAACAAAATATTTAAAAAAATTCTTATCATCAATTAATTAAGGTTGTTTTACCATCTCACACTCATTGTATTAGATAAAGAGATAAGTGATTTATTGAAAACAAACAAATTATAGAGATGGGAGACTATTCAGAATAATTGAGGGTTGTGTTCAATTCTCTGCCCAGCCACAACACATGGGTTTGAACCACTTTCCCTACAACCGCAGCGTAACCGCGGTTCCAACCGCTGCCATATGTACGGTCCTAGGCGGCCTTCATGTGTACAGGACCTAAGCGTTTAAGTGCTACTTTGTAGACGTCAACATCAAGAAAAAGATGTTAAACATTGCAAAGTAGTGGCAGTAGTCAGTTCAGGTAGTTCAGGCCACCAACTAACCTTCTGCTGGATTGACATTGTGTCCCTCAATATCTGTCATAAAAATTGTTCTGTCACTGGTTGTACTTATTACTAAAATGAAATAAATCTTATCTTACTAATATTATAAATGTGAAAGATTGTGTGTTTGTTTGTTTGTTTGTTTGTTTGTTTGTCTGTTTGTTTGTTTGTGTGTTTGAAGTTCAATCACGCATAAACCACTTGACGGATTGGGCTGAAATTTGGCATGATGATAGCTCATATTCCCGATTAACATATAGGCATATTCTTATCACAAAAATCCTTTCGGGCTCCGCCCCAGTGGATCTGTAGTTCCCCATGTTAACCTTATGAGTATTCATATTTAAAGAGAATTAAAGAATTTAGTCAGCTGTTTCAACTAAAAAAGTTGGTTCTATGATATGGAAAAGCATTAAAAAGTTATAAGATTTACTAACAGGGTGCAGCACTATAATTTTTTTGCATTTATGTAAACAGCTAATTTGAGCTAAGCAGCAACAAAAAACTGTGATACGCAATGAGAACTGTCAAAGTAGGATTGTTTACAGTTATGTTTATGTTTTTAATGTCATAAATAATTTGTGAATTTTAGCGAATTTTTAATAATTTATTTTTCTTTATTGTTTATGTTAAGTGGTAGAACATTATGGCTATGGTAGATGTGTAGTACCATAGTATACCGTAAATTTAAAGATGCAAATTTTTATCAAACTGTGTCCTCCCCCATTGCAAACGTAAAGCTTGAAAATAACTGCAAGCATTTTAAGCTTACCGGTATATGACAACCCCGTACGAAGGACGGGTACTCAGCTAGTAATATATAAAACTTTACCTGAGACAAGCAAGTAAATTCCACATCCAATGAAGAACACTATTGCTGCCATCTTAATGTATGACAGCACATCCTGAGATTTCACATAAATCTTGACACTGTAGCAGTTCAAAGCACCGATTATTACTGAGCAAAACATATTATTAATGTATTTAAAAACTGAAATTATTATTTTATTTACACTATCCATAAAAAGGGTGGTTATACAACCGATTGTGGAAAATCAAACCAATAAATGATCACAAAATATTATGGCTTAAAAAGAGACAGAACCTAGGCCTATTACTTACAGTAAAGAATCCTTTATGATACCTTTAAGAAATTCGTTCCTAGTCTTTTACTAAGTTACTTTTTTTGTCCTAGGACACTAGTCTCTAGTTTAGGGATCGTTTTTTACATTACTTCATAGTTTAAGAGTTAACTCTTTGATCTGTGCTTCAGGCTAGACCTATAAGGTTTATCACTTGGATAAAATCCATTTGTGATTTGGCAAGATTTGAACACCGCAGAGACCAAAGTCCCGCACTCTACCACAAGTTCGTGATTCAGCAGGATTTGAACATGGGACCTCCGGGAACAAAGCCCTGCACTGTACAACTAGACCAGCTCGCTCCTCTACTATGTAACTGGAACACGATGGAAACTTCTTGAAATCTTTCCAAATCAACCAAAAAGTTCTTTTAAAACTCATGTACATTTTAAACTGGTTTTTGGTGAATTCCTCTGCATCAATTGATTTATGTCAGCCCACTCTACCGGAGACTCAACTCAACTATGATTATTTTAATGATGAAACTGCGGCTACAGCCTTATATGAGAATATATAGCTGTACCATAATCGTAGCTATAAGCATAGATAAAACATACTCCCTTAGTAGATTTCTCATCCTTATGGAACAGCTGAAGACAATTTTATTGTTAGTTCATGTACGGTTTATGTAGAGGTCGTGTTTTGTTTACAATTTGTTTCCCGTTATTACAGCCATTTAAAACCTCGTTTAACCAAATAATACAATCTAATCATAAACAATAACTTGTCCCCTAGTTATATAACCAAACAGTAAAGCACAAATCAAGAAATTAACCCTAAAATAATGGAAACAAAGTTTCATCGACACTAGCGCCTTTGTGTCACGTACATGAACTAGACACGAAAAACGTGCTTCAAAATTTACAATGGGATGAGAAGTCTACTTGTGTTGGTTAGTCTATGCTATAAGTAACAAAACTAACTACTGTAATAAAATACTTACTCAGTATAGCAGCTCCTAATATAACTTTTTCAACTTCTCCGTTTTCAACGGCAAAGATACTTTGGACGATCACCCACGTGTATTCAGAGAAGAGGAGTGCCCCTAAGGCAACGGAGCAGGGGAGAATGATGACGTACATCATCCAGAAAAACGTGAAAGCCGGAAGGCCACCAAAAAAAGGATGCCTTTTGTTGAAAGTGGTATGCAAATAGATGTAGATACTTCCAGATTTCGGTACCACTGTACTGAGCTCTCCAAATGGAAGACATGCTGGAATTAGTAAATATTTATTTAGTAGAGCCAAAGCAAAGATCAAGCTTGAATACAAGCTTTTGTATAAATACAATTCATTTTTTTTAAAGTAATTTACATCATTGCACTCTGTTGTTGGCTCGATTAAACTATTTCCATTTTTTTTTATTGCTAAATTGTCTACATCATTAAAGGGATGTTTAATTCTATTGATACGGTAATGAAAGAGTGTATCATACTAAAACTAAGTACTTTGTTTACTGGGTAGCTCATTAGTTATAGTGCTCGCCTTGTAATCAAAAGGTCGCCGGTTCAATCCTGAGAAAAGTGTGTAGCATTTTGATGGTTTGAAACTAAACCCAGCTGTTCTGATCATTGGGCTTTAAATAAATGATCCTGAGACAGCTGATCTTAGTCACTAACAAAGCTACACAGATCATCTCACATTTCTACACTCATATTTGGGTTAAAATACCACATCGGTGGTGTCCCCATCTCAAATGAATGTGAAAATTAGATAAAAGCTATAATTAGAAATAATTTCTAAAGCTACGCATTATAAACAATTTTGGTGTGTGAATTAAAGAATGCTAAATCATGATTAAAAATATAGTTCATCACCATGGTGGAAGGAAAAAAACCATAGGTGTGCTATACATGCTGACCTCACCCATCAGATTGCAAACAAAAAAATCACCTGATTGTATTGCCATTCATAGGTATATATTTGTTTTGATTTGATTGTTATTTATCATCATACTAATATTATAAATGTGAAAGTTTGTGTGTTTGTTTGTTTATTTGTTTGTTTGTTTGTTTGTTTGAAGTTCAATCACGCATTAACTACTGGTCGGATTGTGTTGAAATTTGGTATGATGATAGCTCACATTCCCGATTAACATATAGACATATTCTTACCTCAAAAATCCTTTCGGGCTCCGCCCCAGCGGCTCTAGAGATTCCCATGTTAACCTTATGAGTATTTCATATTTAAAAGGAATTAAATAATTTTACCAGCTGTTTCAACTACACAATTTGTTTCTATGATATTCAATAGCATTAAAAGGTTATATGGTTTACCAACAGGGTGCAGCACCGTTAGTTCTTCATACATTTATGACAACAGCTAATTTGAACCAAGCAGCAAAAAAAACCTGAGTGTGAGAACTTTACTTATTTTTATTGTTTAGGTGAAGTGGTAGAACATTATGGCTATGGTAGATGTTCTATATACTATAGTATACCGTAGATTATAGTAAACCAAATTTTCTCTAAACGTATCCTCTCTCATTGCAAATGCAAAGCACGAGTATTTAAGTACAATAAGCATTGTATACCAACCCCGTACGAAGGACGGGTACTCAGCTAGTTGTTTATATAATTTTTTCTAAATGGCGAAATTGGTGTTTGCAATCTGGGTGACGTCAGCACATATGGACCTGCATGTTTTTTCCTTCCACCATGGTTCATCCCACACTGAAGAATGTCTTTTCAGCCTCTGCTTCATTTCCTTCTTAAGCTTGAGTTTGTCACTAAATGAGCCACTTTTAATGATGAAATGTCCGTAGATAAATTAATTTTTGTAGGACTCTTATGAGTTTCACTGCAAATTTGTCAAAATATAGGTAAAACTTACCAAGAAATGAAATAAATCCACATAATGCCCAGATTAAAAGTGTCATTCCAACTGAACCAGACTGTGCTAGAACTGTACCTGGCGTGACAAAAATTCCAGTACCTAAAGAAAACAATTAGTTAATTTTCAGAAAATTTGCATATAGAAAAATATTTTAAAAAAGTTGGTGTTATGGTTGGCCCTACTGCCTATTCTCATTCTAGTTTTATATTATCATGTGTTTTTTTTTTATTGTTTACTTCTTGTTGATTTGTACTAATTAAACACTTTTTACTTAAAACCAATGTATTGTGATAAATTCTTATTTTCATCGGTTTAATATACAGTTTATTAACAGTTTTAGTTTTAGAAAATGGGAATTCAACACTAGATTGAGGATAGATGTTGGGTCTAATGTTTTAATGGTAATATAAAATTTAATATTTTTTAAAATTTGGAGTTAACCCTCAAGTACACACTCGCGGACTGACAGTCCGCGTATACTTCTTACTGGAAACGCTCTTTTGTGAACCCAATAAAGTTCATATAGCATCAAAATTTCAAACAATCCAACTATAGGTAAACAAATAAAGATAAATTTCAAAATAATTACAAATTGAAAATGTCCTGTTGAAAACCAATCAGTCAATCACTGGCCTGTTCTTCATCCTCTTGAAACATGACGCGCCTAAATTTACACTGACGATGGTCAAAACACCACCATTGTCCTTGGAAAGGTAGTGGGGGAAGGTAGATGGGGCGTCATGTCATTCGCTCGTGGATTCACTTATTTCAGGTAAAAATGGGAAATTTTAATGAGTTTCAAGGTTACTTGCGGTTTAAACCCCGTTCACAAAATTTAGGTGGTTTGAGGGTAAGCGATTCCATCCCCTCTACCTCACCTTAACTTTGAAACAACATCTGACAGCTGATCAGTAAAGTGATTGTATTCATTAACCAAAAAAGGAAACCTCCCCTTTACCAATTAATATTGTGATTAGTTTAGTAGTTAAGTGTGTTTTGTTGAAAAAATTTCAAGAATACCAATTCGTGTTTTATTCACATCTTTATTAGATCTACAAGCATCAAAATTGAAGGACAAAATACAATAACCTAATTGATCATTGGAAAGCTATGTACATACCTTAGGATTTTCATTTTATATCCGACAATTAAATTTATTGACAGAATTAAGGACGTGTTCTACAACTTCTACGATAATTCAGTTTTAGAATGGAACTATGCTATATGTTGTTAAATCTCTGCTAGCCCAAATATGTATTTGAAAAGATATGTTAATAGATTAATAATTAGTTCTTACCTATAACAAAGCTCAGCATAAAGTTTACTGCACTTGCAAGTCCAACTTCTCGCTTAAGCCCAACATTGTCAGATCCACAGCTAATTCCTTTTTCTGCCTTTTCCATTTTTAATCAGTTTTTTTATCTATGGAAAAAATATAACTTTAAACTATTTGAATAATCATTTTTACATTAAACTAGTTGCTTAGCCCAAGCTACACCAAGAAGAGGACACAGAAAAATAATATGGTTTTCTACATTATAAAACAGTAAGATACACATTTACTATTCAATTTTGCCACTTGGCTTTTACATAGTAAAGCATACTTATTTATTTATAAATTTGTATTCATCATAGATCTGCTGAAGACAACTTTGAAGTTTTGTGTTTTCCGTAGAGGGTTTTTCGTTCCTAATCATTTAATTGTCTCTTCTTATTTGAAAGCTTAAAAGCAAGTTTAAAAACATGCTTTGCAGTATCAATCATGATGTTTTTACAATGTGGAAAACCAAATGCAGCCAAATTAGAAAACTAATTGAAATGTTTCAATAAATAGTTATTTGTGCAACTAGTGAGAAAAGTGAGCAATTGACTCACTCGAGAGAAATCCTTACTCACGAGCCGTAGGCGAGTGAGGAATGGTTTATCGAGTGAGGCAATTGTACTTTGAACTCGAGTTGCACATTATACTTTTCCTACAGTTACCATAAAACAAATAAATTGGTGAAGAAACATAACCTATTTTTACACAGAAGTGAACTTTTAACGTAACATTTAATTTGAAGTGACAAATACAACAGTACAACAGCTGACCAGCTGATTTACAGCCAGTGCTGCCAACGTATTTCGCGCGCATACGACGTTGCCTGCATGTTACGCGCTCACTATTTCGTGCCTTCACGTTGCAAATCTGGAGTGAGACAAAGTAATTAGAGTGAGACAAAGTTAACATTGTCTCACTGATGAGCGAATTGGCCACTTTGCTTTCTCAAATCAGTGAGAGAACATGTACATTATTAGGTAACTGTAGGAAAAAAATCATACCTTGTCACAAGAAAATAATACAGTCAATTTTCATTTTGCAATGTAGAATATAATTGTAATATTAGAACCAAAAGGTTAACTCAGGGAAAAATAAAAAAAAACAATTACAAAATAAAAACAAAAGTAACGGCTTATGCATATTCAATATTTCATAACTTATGTGATTAAATGCAATCCTTTAATTAAGGGTACCTATGGAAGGCGTATAATAATTTATAAATAAAAAAAATCTTTTAAAAATTACTACGTATCTAGACCCAAATGGCAAAATTGTATACATTAGTTTTATGATGAGAAACATATTTTTTGATTGCTGAGTTGGTATACATTTTGGACCTCTTAAAAGATTATTGAAATTTAAAAAACCCAGATTGCTACTTCTAAGTAATTAAATGATTGGTCCCAGGCTCTTAAGGATAACTCCAAGCCCTAAGATAATATATATATATTTAATGATTACAGTTTTTATCTCACATACAAAATTTTAAATTATGGAGTGAAATAAATCAAATGTTTTGACGGTACCGTACCCAAAACTATTTTTTGCTCTAAGTATATCAGTTCGTGAACCATGAACGTGATACATCTTACAGAACATGTTGATTTTTATTCTTACGTACCTATTGACAGATTATTTATACGAAACTAAACAACTTTGAGAGCGTACAACACAACTACAAGCTAACTAACACACGCTAAGTTAACTAAGGATTGATTGATCATATTATTATCTTCAGACAATTCTGTAGATATGAATGATTTATACATGGATCACGGTACTACACGGTTTGATCATTAAGAGACTAATACTCCCTGATTTCTATTATCTTTGGTATTGAAATATCTGTTATCTTTTTGATATTGTCATGCTCTTCAGCTAATTAATAATCCTCTTCAACTCAGCTGAGTTGAAATTGCTGTGACACACTTTGCTATAGGGAAATTTTGCCAAAATTATATTGAAGTTATGTTTTGAAACATAAAACTTATTTGTTGGGGACGTACGGTAAATTCGAACTGTCTATTTGTTCAGTCACAGAGAAAATAAGGTACAGAGGAAACTCGTTCATGAGCATCCGTGCGCTTTCAGGTCTAGTACGTTGTGTTGAAAATATACTTGTGTTGAGCAAGGAAAGAACCTGAGTAACAATCAGTGTGCACAGGGCACAGGGTTTTCCTTCACCGTGAGCGTTTTAGTTCATGAGAGCGAAAGGGGTGGTGTTAGACTTTGCCCTAGACACCAGCGACTAGTGCTAGACACCACTTGTGTAATATTGGGTGATTCCTCCGTTATTCTCTTTAGTTCAGTTAACTTTCAACTCATTGATAATTAATCTTCCCAAGAAATTTTTCTGATATAAATATGATACATCTTTTTGAACTCAAAATGTTAGCGTCTCAGACTTTGGTACAAGGGTGACGTAGGTTTGATTCCCGGCACATCCACAAAACATTTAATGGATTTGGTCCACTTTCCTTTACAAGTATTTGAATTCACTTTATGAAAAAAATCTGTGTACGTAAAAAAAAATTTTAAGCAGTTTGTCATTGTAACTGATACTGAAAAATGTACTGAATGTTAATTTATCCATGTTATGTTTAAATTTTAAGCTTAAAAACCCAAAGAACATACAAGTTTGAATAGAAAGTTTTCGAAAATTTCAAATTTTTTAAAGTTAATTCATTAAATGTGCACACTATATCACACTGAATCACTTACCTTCAGATCAAATACCTCTTATCACTTGTTTACTTAAAAATGTTCTAGTGGTCAATAAACTCGAGTGTGCTGTTAAAGTATTAACTATCACTTGAAATTAGGATCAGGATCACGTTAAAAAATAAAAATATCTAACCTACAGTATTTTACAAAACTGTTATTTACCAAAATAGAATTTCCAAATCGGATTTTCATAAACAATTATTTAAAAATTTTACTTTTTGGACGGCTTTAAAAAGGGGTTGGATACAAAATTGAACTACTGTACGAGATGCACGTGTACAATTGACGGTATGGAGAAGATAAGTTCATCTGGTTACGATATCATTGTAACACAATGAAAACTCACGATTTAAAATCTTTCCCCGAATCAAATGATTCGATTGAGAGGTTTTCCATCAATTTAACCAGGATGGGCATTGAGTTTTATATGTCCATACCATTGGACCTCTGGTATGTTCATGATGAACATTTCATCGGACACCTACGTGTCACAACAGTACCTCTTATTAAATTGGTGTCATTTTATAAACCAAAAACTATTTTGTTTTCAACGTTAAATTTTGAAGAGTGACTGCAACTTTGTTAAATATTATAGATTTAATTAAGTTGACTAAATTTGTATAATATACATTATGTTTAATGAGACCAGCCAAAAACAGCTTTTTGTTACCAGTTACACTTTTTACTTACTTTTAATTAAAGGTGCTTTACTTTGAATAGTTTTGCCTTTTTAATAAGTGATAGTCCATTGATTGGTTTAACTTTATATAGTGTTTTTGACAAAGAAGACACAGTTTTAAGCTGGGGAACTGAAGAAACTGCTTATACTATTTATGACATCATCAACAGCTCTACAAGGGTCAGGAACAAACTGTCTGATGGGGCAGTCACCTTGGATTCTGGGAATTTGTTTATCAATTTCTTCGTTATGATAAAGTTTTCCAGTTGGCTTTCTTATTTCAACTCCTTGATCTTCTTTTTTGTGTTCCTCTGTAATTGTTGATCCCCAATCTTCAGTTTCTTTTTTCGCTTCTTTAATTTTTGCTCCCTCAACATCAGTTTCTTTGCTTTCATCTGTAATTTTTGGCCCCTCAACTTCAGTTTCTTTGCTTTCATCTGTAATTTTTGGCCCGCCAACTTTACTTTTGTTTCTTTCCTCTTTCATTTCTGGTCCCCCAACTTCAGTCTCTTTTCTTTCCTCTATTATCTGAGGTCTCGCCCCACTTGTTTTCCTCCCAGGTTCCTCCCTAGTTATCTCGTCAGCTATCGGTTGAGTTCCAACAAACGATGATTCCTCTGATACATTTCCAGCTGGTCCAGTAATCCTAACATCTCCAGAAGGGTTTACATAGAACTGAAAGACAGCCTCAAACTGCACATCAGACCCTTCTTTGGTCTTGGCAGAAAACACACTTTTCTGTTCTATTGTTGGTGTCTTCTGTGTAGACATGTTTGTACCTATAATATAGAATACTACACTTTAATTGAAACTCTTAAATTCACATTAAATAAGTTAAGATTCGTTTAATGGAATCTATGACGATGTGTTTTGTTTTGTGGTGCATAAAATGGAACACAACTTCAAAGTCAGAATTTCTAGGACATAGACATTCTGACCTGGAAGATATGTTCCATTTTCTGCACCTCAAAACACATCCTAAGTTAATTTGAAAACCCATCGTGGTGGAATTTGACAAGTGTAGTTTTACCTTGGTTACCTATGCTATTTTAGTCAAATTTTGTTGTATGGTTACTTTTTTGCAGTGGGGAATATATTTTTCCACTTTAAACCTTATTTATTAGCCTGAATGTTGTGCCAAAAATACATTAATAAAAATTTAGTTTTTACATTCATCTGTGGGTAGGCATATATATTTATTTTTATATCAAAAGGATCACATTACTTTTTGCTCTTGTATTTTTTTAAGTTTAGTACTTTTAATTGTAAGTATTTCAACAAAACACTTTACTCACATGAAAATAGTGTAATCTGGCAATGACTACTGTAACATATGTAGCTGTTTAAGGAAGTGACAAAAATTTGGTGTAACTTGTAGCCTTGATTCATGAAAATTTGTTTTGTTACTGTGGATACACATTAAAAATAAAAAATAAAATACCAGAGTTGTATAATCCTAGTTTAACCCTCCAGTACACACGCTTTGTAAAGATAACCAAAATAAGTGAATTGGCGAGTTGATCACATGACGTGCCATCTACCTTCCCCCACTACCTTTCCAAGGACAATTGCGGTGTATTGACCATCTTGATCTTAGCCTTAGCGTCAGTTGGTCCTGAACTACGAGGGTGTAAAGTTAGGCCCGTCAAAAGAGGGTGCAGAACAGACCAGCGATCAACTGATGGTTTTCAAAAGGACATTTTCAATTTGAAATATTTGTAACTAGCAGAACACCCGTCCTTCGTACGGGGTTTGCGTATAAGTATAAAATGCTTATTGCAGTTAAAATCGTGCTTTGCGTTTGCAATGGGAGAGGACACGGTTTCAGAAAATTTAGTTCTTTTAATAAAAAAAAGTAAATTATCAAATATTCGCACACAGTATCAAAAAATCATACTAATATTATAAATGTGAAAGTTTGTTTGTATGTTTGTTTGTTTGTTTGTTTGAAGTTCAATCACGCATTAACTACAGGTCGGATTGGGCTGAAATTTGGTATGATGATAGCTCACATTCCCGATTTAACATATAGGCATATTCTTATCTGAAAAATCCTTTCGGGCTCCGCCCCAGTGGCTCTGGAGTTTCCCATGTTAACCTTATGAGTATTCACATTTAAAAGGAATTATAGCATTTTGTAAGCTGTTTAAACTACACAAGTTGGTACTATGATATTCAATATCATTAAATAGTTATAAAGTTTACCATCAAGGTGCAGCACTGTTATTTTCTTTTTGCATTTATGATAACAGCTAATTTGGACCAAGCAGCAACAAAAAGCTGTGATACATAATGAGAACAGTCAAAGTAGGATTGTTTACAGTTAAGTTTATGTTTTTAATTTATAAATAATTTATTGATATTGTGTGCGAATATTCTATAATTTATTTATAAATTAAAAACATACTAGTGTTCAAATGGGTTGCTCGTAAAATAAATAAATAAACTCTAAACTTATGTTTCAATCATGATGTTGACAGTATTTTTGTTTACTATCAACAAAACAACAGGATGGTGCCATCTTGATCTTGATCTTCCTGCCTCTAAATTTGACAAGACAACAACAAAACAACTCCCCTGTCCCCTCCCACCAACCAACCGTAACCGATCGCACGGACACGGCCAACCTAACAACACGAATCACTGAAAACCAGCAAAAACAGTGGTGCGTTTTAAAAACACAGAGTGGTTTAAAACTCCAGTTATTTTTAGCCCAGTGGTTGTTTTCTTGGTCATATATTTGTTAAAACTTCTGTGAATAATGCCCTAATACATGTTCAATTAATTGCATTAATTACATGTAATGTACAAATAATTGTTGGAAGAAAAATCTCATATTTCTTTATCTCTTTAAAAACAATCTAGTTCGCGGTTGCATGGTTGAAAAGAAGCAAAGCGGGCCTTTTCGCTAAAACAGATGAAGATAAAACTATCTAGTTTAAAATTAAATGAAAATAGTACTGTAACAGCATTCAGTAAGGTGCCGGTACAATATTTAATAATATTTACTATCTTTACCATAAATTAAGAGGAAGAACATTCAGTTGATGGTTCTCAACTCCCTGATTTCTTAACATGTATTTATGAGAGTCTTTATCTTAGAAAGTGTTGGAAATAGTTATTTGTGCAACTCAACTAGTGAGCAAAGTGAGCAATTGACTCACTCGAGTTGCACATTATATTTTTCCTACAGTTACAATAAAACAAATAAATTAGTAAAGAAACGTGACAATTTTACACACAAGTGAACTTTTAATATGAGATTTAATGATCAACTCGATCAACAACAATACAACAGCTGTCCAGCTGATTTACAGCCAGTGCTGCCAAGGTATTTCGCGCGCATAAGACCTTGTCTGCATGTTACGCGCTCACTATTTCGTGCCTTCACGTTGCAAATCTGGAGTGAGACAAAGTAATTAGAGTGAGACAATGTTAACATTGTAACATTGTTAACATTGTCTCTACGATGAGCGAATTGGCCATTTTGCTTCCTCAACTCAGTGAGAGAACATGTACATTGTTAGGTAACTGTAGGAAAACACTTTTTTAAGTTTATTCAAAGTCAATGATTTAGTCCACAGCTAACCGAAATAAATTAAATTAAATAATCATACAAATCATACGCTACTTTAATAATATTCTACACTTTCTCGAAAATTACATATTTTATAACGGTTTATGTTATGTTATATTTGTATTAACTTTTTTTATGATCATGAAGTGTCATGATTCAATTTCATTAATATACATAATAAACATATAGCGATAATCGATAATCTACTCACTATCCTGATTCCTGAGCTTGGCAACATTGATTTTAGCGGTTATGTTTTGAACTTCCCGCTCCTTGCTCTTTCACAACACCTGCCTAGTGCTTGTTTTTGACGACTGTCTGATTGTGACTGTAAAACGTGTTTTGTCATAACTATATTTTTCATTTTATTATTTATTTACTAGATTATTATTTAAAAATGTCTTTGGATCCGTTGGATGACCTAACTAACAAACTCTCCAACACTAAAGTTACTGGAGAAGGTGTCAGTTTTGTTGGGAAATCTTTAAAGCTTAACAACGCTGACGATGGTAAGTCACTAACTTTTGTTAGACTAAGTTAACACAATTAATTTTGAACTAATTTTGTACTTCGACGTATATAGATCAAACAGTTGTAAAACTACTAAGTTATTGGTTGTAGTTTAACATTTTTATTTGGGTCGTGAAGACTAAATAACATTAAAAAATAGACTTAAGTTAGTCCTATTTCTCCTTTTAACCTCAATTTATTGTTCTAACCTTTGTGTCTGGGCCCATGCCTTTTAAGAAAGAAATCTAACCATGAACCCGCTCATCTTCTCCATAATCACTTCTTATCGCTGATAACCAATAGAGTGTTTGGCATAATATGTGATTTTCTTCTAAGCTAGCCCTAATTACTTAAGTTAGTCATTGCCTAGCTCATGTCACCTCGGAAAAGAATTTTGAAATGATACTCTTAGGGCTACTGATCAACTCCGTCAACATTAACTGGTAGATTAGGTCTAATTGTAACCTGAACCAATAGTTTTTCTGTTTGCACTGCTGATAACCGTGGGATTATGGTTAATATCTTTCTTTCAGTCTATTCATAGGACATCTTTCATGCAGTTGTCAAATAACTTAATACCCTATCCTATGTTCTGTTATTAGGATAGAATGTGTGTTTCTTCATTAAATGTCAAGGCCCTTTTATTAGCTGACTGAACATTAAAGCCTGGTTTACATTGGTCGAGTGGTAGAGTGATTAGAACAGTGGCGGATCCAGGGTGGGGGCCATTGCCCTCCCTCAGGCAAAAACACATTGTGTAAATTTTAAATTGTAAATTTTACATTGCGTAAAATTACTTAATTTGCCACACTAACTTTGGACAAAGTAATTGTATAACACTGCCATTTTGGAGACTTAGTTTACACCAATTTTTTGGGGAGGGGACACCCCCAACCCCCCCAGATCCCCCGGTTCACCCCCCCCCCCCTGTGTCTGTTCTAGATCTGCCGACTGGATTAGAAAAGCGAGTTAGTACTCTACCACTACCGTAAACTTGACCAGTGTAGATTTAAAGTTTGTTGAGTTGTATCGTGATGCAGGATGTTTGTGGAATCTCACAAGACCTGTACTTACAAAAACAAACAAATGTGAAATATAGCAATCGACGACCTTGTAAAAGATGTGGTTCAGGAAGGGTTTGGTGTATAATAAGCGAAGCAGAAAATTATAAACATGATATCTAAATACAGCCATGTTGACTATTGGATACAGAAGTTGTATCAATACGGTAGTCAAAGATACAACCAAGAGCTAATTTTCTTCCACTTCCACCAATTCATCAACCTTTTCTACTGTAGCCTACTAACAAATCTACACCCTTTTCAAGCATCTTTGAAAAATGACACCTAGATTACAGAGTATTTTAAGTACGGTACCGTATAATTTATACAACTGTACAATCATCAAAACTTATGACAATAGGCCTAGTCAACTCTGCCAAATTACATTTAAACGGACTAACTTATATTCTAAATCGTGATAAGTAAGCTTGGCCGAGTAACTGGACCGAGCCAAATCGACCAAGCCTACTCGACCAATGTAACCCAGGATAATAGGGCCTAATGATCTTTAAAGTAAATCTTAGCCTATCTTATGGACAGTAATGTATTGAAATCAGCCTAATCCTTTTCAATAAACTAGCCTGGGTGATATCCAGAGGCTATAATTGGTGAACTAGAGATTTAGGGTATAGGCTATCCTGTAATAAATACATGGGCTGGTCCAACCTTAGTATTTTAAAAATTCCTTCATCAATAAACCTGAGATTTACTTTTGTTTTACGCCTATTTAACTCATCTTAAGATTGAGTTTTTAAACTTGGTCAACTGATGCTGACGGTCCTGGTGCAGGTCAAAGCCAGACGGAACCATCGGCATCACGTGATAGGCCTGGCCTATCAATAAGTAATGTTTGTTATTTTGTATTTATTTTTTGTCGTGTAAGTGACAGCAATCATATTATTGTTTTTGTTGACAATGCCGCACTAACTGTGAAACATGTAGGTAATTAAACCTGATTACTAAACAACACGTAGGGTTGGATTAATCACCTTGATTCTATGAATGTTAAGGCATGAAAAAAGTGACAATGCTGTTCAGTTTTTGAATATTTTGAAAAAAAACTATTTTCTTAAAAGATTCAGGTAAAGTTTGGCTATGTGCAGTTTGTAAGCTAAGTAATGTAGCCCAAGTAGTCTTGTACTCTGTTGGATTGACTTACCTCATAGAGAAACTTAAAACAAACTGTTTTCGATCTTAACCAATTCATCTTTTTTTTATTTTCAGCCAAAGTCGTGACTGATGCCATTGCAGCTTGTCAAAATTTAGAATACTTAAATCTAGAAGGTAATACTCTTGGAGTGGATGCAGCAAAAGCAATCGGAACAGCTCTTGGGACTCATCCGGAATTGAAACGGGCATTATGGAAGGATATGTTCACTGGTCGAATGAAAGATGAAATACCTCAAGCTTTGGTATGTCTATACATTTTTCCTTTTCTAATAAGCTAGCAATATTGTAAAGAGTAACTTTTAGGTTACCTGGTAAGTTAAAATTACAATATTTTAAAGAAATTTAACTAACATACAACACTTAACTCGTTTGAAATTTGTTATTAACACCCTATAGGCTAATAGGCCACACTTGCAGAAAAAACTAATAGCCTATTGGTTAATTTTATGATTTTATCCAGTTTTGCATATTCATAAAACCTAACCTTAGCCATTGGGTAGGAAACAGAAAGTTTGAAAAGATGTATGCGGACAAAACAAATAAAAATCATTTTGGATACCTACATTTTTGCTTTAAAATATATATCTATCAAGTAGGAGTATTTAACTAAACTACGAGGAGATTCTAAACTTTTATTTTCATATATAGGCTAAACGAACTTCGTAGCAGTAACAGATCAATATAACTGCTACTGGTATTATAATTTGAACTCAACGATGGTTTAGTTCACACATGTTGTAAGTCCATTTTTTCGATTTTGAGTTTTTGGTATCTCCTGAATCATTGGGTGATTCTCTTTCGTTCTGCACAAACGTAGTATGTAAAAAAAAAAAAAAATCATGAAGCTCTCTAAAACTAAAATTTGAATGTTGTATGTCCATCCAAGCCATTTTTATTAGTTCACAAATGATGTGTTTGTTATTTAATGCACACATGTTTTAAGTGAAGTGCATTTACTGTGAAATGTCCATTTGCTTGAAAAGTACTAAACATAATGTAATGCACAAATGTTGCAAGTCCACATATATGCAACATGTGTGCAATATCAATCTGGGTTCATCAATTTGAATTTAATGTCACATGTATGTCCAGTAATTGAATTTTAGTCTACTTATATCACAATAGCCTAATACAATTTATCTTTGAAATTCAAATGATATGTTTTCAAACATGAAATTAAATCTGTTGTATTTTCAAAAGTTTGAGTGGTTAAGGCTGTTAAAGGTTCTTCAGCTCACCTTTTGGCTTATCGTATGGTAAATTGATATTGTTCTCTAGTGTAAAAATACTACGTTAGTGCCTGGATGGGCAAGATGGCAGGAACGCAAAATCAGCACCAAATTGAACTCCGGTTGCTGAACAGGAGCATGTTAAGCACCATATAGATAGTTTCCCTATACTACTATGGAGTCACATTGCCGCAATGATTAAAAAAGGTGATATCAGTCAAGTGATTTAATCATAACCAAGATGTATAGGCTCTATAAAAAAAATATTGCCATAAAAAAAAATCACCTACAGGAATTCCTCTTATTTAGGCCTAATTTTATTCTAAATCTCCTTATTTTTCTGAACAAAACAAGTATAAATATGGCTGGGTTATCAACAGTGGATTAGGCACTACGAATTGTCAAAAACAACTCTGTAAAATGGCCAAAATTGCCAGGCCACCGAACAATTTAGCAAATCAGGTCAGGACAGTCCTAGGGTTAAAAGAATGCCTATTTTGAATATTTTGTGATACGCAATTATACAGTAGTTTTTACAAATGGTGATTCTAGCGATACCTGGGTAGTGGGCTGGATATGGCCAATGTTCGGCTAGTAGAGTTGGACCTCAGTGACAATGCTTTTGGCCCCATTGGAATGGAGGGGTTGGCATCACTACTGCGCAGCTCTTCCTGCCACTCCCTCCAAGAGTTACGACTCAATAACAACGGACTTGGAATCACAGGAGCTAAGGTATGTATAGTTCGAAATTATGAAAGTAGGCCTACATTTTTTAATCAGTTAAGTTGACTGGGGAAATAGATTCTTCATGAGTTCTTGTCAAAATAGATGCAGTTTGCTAACGTTTCCTAATCCTGACTGTGTTTGTTTGAACTGAGATCTTGATTTAATTGTTTTTATTTTATTTCATTTCAGAAAATTTACCATACAGTAGACTCCCTCTTATCCGGCCACTTTTTAACCGGACATCGGTTTGACCTGACTACACTCGGTTGAAGTGACATTTCTTTATCTGGATAATTTTTATCAGCACATCAGTTTAACCGGACTAGATTGGTAGGAAGTGGGCGGTACTGAAACGACTGATCTCGTGGGAATGATTTGAGACCAGTGATTACGTGTCTAAATACAATGCTCTCCTAATTTTAAATCAAATACTACTGTATAGAGTATGCATTTAAACAGTCCGTTTTAACGAGATTTTGGTGACGTCGGTTTAACCAGAAAAACCGTTATCCGGACTGGCCTTGATCCCGAGGAGTCCGGATAAGAGGGAGTCTACTGTATAGGAAATAAGCAATTTCCTTAGGTCTTATGGTAAGTCCTGGATCCAGGACCAATTTACTTTTTCATTTTGAGGTCCCCTGAGGCCAAAAACACAATCCGTTCACATTCATATAGGCCCCTACGGTTCCGGTATAGGCTATTTACTTATATATAGGCCTATCCATTAGCACAATAAATCGAGCAAAACTGATATGACTTTGTTGAAATTTGGTAAACCAGCAGGATCGGACTATGGGAACGGGGGTTTTATGGATAAAAATGGGGTTTTCCCATTTTTACTCTAAAATCATTCAATTTTTGCAATATCTTTCCAAACCATTTTGTAGAGCTCTTAAAAACAAATCATTTAGTATATTGAAGCGTTGTATGCCCTATCGTTATGGAAAAAATTCCATAAAGTGTAAGTTAAAAAAACTGTTTATGGTATTCTTATGGAGAATAAACTGCTATAGCTTGCTTGTCCATGGACATATTTTAATGAAATGTTTTAATACTAAGCTACCAATACCAATTTAAAAGCTATCATAAAAAAAAACACACACACCTTATTGTCTAAATAGCCTACTCATGAATTAATAATATTTAACTTAAATTGGAAATAAATCTGACAATTTTAAGGGAATAATTTTTGTGCCAAGTAGATGGAAATTCACTCAGTCTGCAGGTTTGCTGTGGCAGGAGTATTATATTTTTATTAGGTTTAAGGATACTAACAACTTTATGTTGGTTCTGTTAGTTACAGATCCTGCTGTTGCATATTTAATTTTCGAGATATACTATTTCCACTTTTCACACTCCTTCCAAAAATTCATTTTTAAAGAGTCTTATGTTTACAGTTGCTGTCCAAAGCACTCATGGATTGTTACGAGAGCAGCAAAGCCGAAGGGAAGCCTCTCCCTTTGAGGGTTTTTATTGCTGGAAGAAATCGGCTTGAAAATGAAGGTGTGACTGCTTTAGCCAAAGTTTTCAAGGTAGGTTACGGTAACCGAAAGTATAGAATTCTTGTGTTCGTAAATCTTATTGTAATGATTTTATTTGATTTTAGTTCCTCTTTGAGGCTCTCCTTTCATCCTTACCAGGCACACTGCTGTATGCCCACAAAAAAACCTCTCCCCTCACCTAGCAACAAAGTACTACATCTGGATTCAATATGATCATCAGCATCAATATTTTTGTCTTCCCATTTAATTTCTCTTATTAAATTTGTTAAATATTCTCCTTAAGGAGAAAGTATTCTATATAGTCAACATTTTGGTTGGAAATATCTGTTTTGGGTCCCCATAAACATAAAATAGTAAATTTCAAACAGATTTCTTTGATTGTGTAAAGTACTATAGACTATACCTGTGGTCAGATTTTGATAAATTTTTGCATGTGCCCTCACATGTTGCTTGTTTTTATGCACATCTAGAGTTTTTATTCAAAATGTTGATTTCAATTGTGATTTTTATGTATAACCCCCTAAAATAACAGAAAACCTGTTATTTTACCCCCTCCAGTTACTCAGTATAATGGTTTTAATTTCTGCTCATGAAACGAGGCCTAGTAGGAAAATCAGTCTCAATGTCATGTCTATGCGAGATCAGTTTGCTGATACCTTATTCTCTACCTTTTGTTTCGTGTAGGTGATCGGGACTCTAGAGGAGATACAGATCCCGCAGAATGGCATTTACCACGTGGGCATACGAGAGCTGAGCGAGGCCCTCAAGAGCAATCCAGGGCTGCAAGTGTTGAACCTCAACGACAACACGCTCGGCCCCAAGGGCGCTACGGCACTTGCATCAGCACTGTCCAGTCTGCAACTGCTGAGGGACATAAATCTGGGCGACTGTCTGCTGAAGACTGCCGGTGCACTCAGCATTGCTGACGGACTGCGGGAGAAACACGCCAACTTGGTGGTACGGTCACACCAGATAAGTAACCTGGCTATGCACAGGGTTCTAATAGAAACAAGAAAAGATTACTAATAACTCATTGAACCAAGTATAGACATTTAGGCAAAACGCTGTGTGTAGTAGGTTACACCCTCTCTTAACTTAGCCTCCTAGGACGTCGGACGGCACAGGACACTAGATAACCTGAAAGATCGATTGATCAGGAGTCTGTGAAGAGAGGGTTTATTGTTCATAGGTAGTAAAAAGTTTGTATCAAGTATTTATTGACAAAACTAAAATCAAGGTATGTGTGTAAAGTTGGGACTTGTTAAAATTTAACTTTACTTGAGTTTCTTCTTCAAAAACAAAATCACTAATTAACTAGGCGGATAGAGTTTAAACATGGTGTTTTATTTTTATTTTGTGGACAATGTGAATTTATTGGTTTGTTTAAGCACTGTAGTACAATGTGTTCTATTGTTAGATGTGTTTGAGTCAGGATTCAATCAATTAAATGGCATGTTTCACTGTTTTTGAATTGGTTTGCTTTGATATTCATAAAAGTTGAGTTAGATGTTCCTTTTTTGGCATTTTAATAATTAATGGCATTTTATTTTCAGGAGCTTAAGTTGGATCACAATGAAATCAAAAAGGACGGTGGTTTAGCAATAGCAAAAGCAATGGAAAACAAGACAAAACTTAAAGTTCTAAATCTGAACGGCAACCAGTTTGGAGAGACAGGTGTCTTTGCAATCAAGGATCAAGTCAGAAAAAACAAAAAACCCGATGTTTTGGATAGCTTTAGGTTAGTGTTAATATGATTTCCAGTTACTTTCCACTATTTATAAGCAGAGTGTCTACTGTCTACCTGTCTACAGCTCCTTGGTATTCCCAATCTCTAGGAAAAGATTTTAATTTGTTCTTGTCCTGTATTTCAGTGAAGACGAAGATGAAGATGAAGAGGAAGAAGAAGACAATGAGAATTCTGATGAGGAGGAAGAAGAAGAAAATGAAGAAGATAGTTATGTAGAAGAAAACCAAAAAGAACAAAACAACAAAAGCGAAAAAGAACTTACAAACGGTATCAAAAAGGAGCTGACAAGCCAAAGTAGTCTATCATCAGTTGAGACAGAGATGTTGAATTTGTTGAAAAATGTAAGTAGTCAGTTTATAGTTCAAACTTTTAAAACGTACAATTTAATTGTAAAAAAGTCACTGTTCAAGATGAGCTGCAAGTAATCAAGTGTTATTAAGAAATGTACTTCTTTTAAAATTTAAACACTGTAAGGATGCGGTACTGTACGACTACAGACTACAGTACTGTCACACCACGCACTTATTCCACTGTCTTGTTGCAGTGTTAGGTTATTGAGTTATTGAGTGTGTAGGAATATCAAGTGGTGGATTATCACGAGTCAACAGTATTTTTGTTGGATTTTCTATCATTTAACTACAATCACTATAGTAAAAGCTCAATGTCATAAAGTCTTCAATATTTTGAAGGTTGTTTTCAATGTAAATCAAATCAAGTAACAGGTGAAAAATAAGAATATTTTTAATGTGTTAACCCAATGAGTTACAATAACATTTTTTTAGTTATAACTAGGAATTCTTGGTTTTTAAATTTGATGTCTGTTATAAAATGTGTCTGTTTTTCTTTTTAAACACTAAGTCAAGTGGTTTTTGGTAAGTCGGTGGCTCAGTTGGTAGCGTCACGGACTTCGGGCCCAAAGCAGCGATGTCGTGGGTTCGGATCCTGGTCACTGCCGCAAACATTTTATCAGTTCAGTTCACCTTCGTACTGTCTTGGCTCACCCTTTGCTTTGTTGGATACGTTCCACGCATAGATCTGTAGTCTATGTGGACGGGCAAATACAGGGTTAAAAGAAACTGCCAACCTCTTAAAAAAAAGGTTTATTGTAAATTCCAAAATTTCCTTCCGTCTTTAGTTTGGAGTTAATATTTTGTATTCCTATTGCATCAATTTATTTTTATGGTAATGAGAGTTTTGTCTGGATTTCAGGTCACGGCAGCTGATTTCCTTCAAAGTCCAAGCCCGGTGATGTTTTTAGCTCTTAGAGCCAACAAATCGCAACAGATTATGGATGAAATCCAGGTAAGTTTGGTAATGATAGACTGGTCAAACTAACACAATGGCGAGAATGTTTCTCTTTTGATTCAATGGTTAATTAGTTTGTCAAAAATGACGCTTAAAATTTATTTTTCCTACAGTCACCTAACAATGTACACGTTCTCTCACTGATTTGAGAAAGCAAAGTGGCCAATTCACTCATCAGTGAGACAATGTTAACATTGTCTCACTGTAATTACTTTGTCTCACTCCAGATTTGCAACGTGAAGGCACGAAATAGTGAGCGCATAACATGCAGGCAACGTCGTATGCGCGCGAAATACATTGGCAGCACTGGCTGTAAATCAGCTGGTCAGCTGTTGTACTGTTGTATTTGTCACTTCACATTAAATGTTATATTAAAAGTTCACTTCTGTGTAAAAATAGGTTATGTTTCTTCACAAATTTATTTGTTTTATGGTAACTGTAGGAAAAGTATAATGTGCAACTCGAGTTCAAAGTACAATTGCCTCACTCGAGAAACCATTCCTCACTCGCCTACGGCTCGTGAGTAAGGATTTCTCTCGAGTGAGTCAATTGCTCACTTTTCTCACTAGTTGCACAAATAACTATTTTATATTTGAAATTTTGTTATAAGATTGGAACCTTCCCTGTTGTCTTTTATTGTATGGCACCAAGAAAATAATTTTAGGTAAAGGGATCAGGATGTGGCTATATGAGATTGTGAATAATCTTCTTTCATTTTTTGTACCAAACACTTACGCAGAAATGGTTTAGTAGTTGTGTAGACCGGGCAAAGCACAGCAGATCTCCTGCAGAATGTTGAAGTCTAGACAATTAGGTGGACAATTTACTACTGTAGAAACAAATACATAAAGTAAACCAAAGGTGTTAACTAAACCAACTGAGCCAGATGATTGTGGAATGAAGGTGAATATCTTGTTAAGGTTTGTAATTGAGTTAATTCTTTTACCAGGATATAGGATCATTAATGAAAATCACAACAACTAACGACATGGGTTCAGTTTCAAACCATATTTCTCAGATGTAAAAATGAATCTTCTAAATAATTGGCAAGCACTGGAATCACTCAGCTTCTCATCTATTAAGTTAATGTTAACACTTTTTTATTAACCCTTCAGGACTGCCACCACTATGGTAGGTTTTCTCCGAATTGTGCCTAACCACCCTTCGTTTTTGCCCTTTGCTGTTCAGCATTAGTGTTGGTGCTAGTCATGATTAAATCAAATTCATTATATCGTCATAAAATAGAATGCAAAAGTACCTAGGGGCTATTAACTGAAATTTTAGGTCCATGTTAATGTACTAGTAGTTCTCTTAATTGTTCACAACCTTAAATAGGCCTAGTATCAACCTTTCATATTTTTCTGTTGAAAATGATAAATTGAACTCTGTCACACACACACTACAATCGAAAACAGCTGTAAAAGTCAAATAAAATCTATTTATCTTTATTAATTGTGTACAGTAAATCTGTATATAGCGTCACAAGATTATAAAAAACAGAATAATTAAATAAAACTAAACTCTAAAATACTAAAACTCAACAGAACAAGATTTTTCTTAATTTGTTAGGCGAAATAAAAAATCTTGATAGAGTAGGGAGCTCGTTTTGTCGATGCCTTCCTCCACTTTACAGGGTTCAGGAAGCCCTTAAAAAGATTGTGTCCTATAATGGATCATGTGCTGTATACAGAAATATTTCACTGATTCGTTGTCAGATGCCACCACCTAACGAGTTGCATTATGACGAGCGGGTCTTTTAAACTAGCTTTTTACACCTGACAAGGAAGGCTTGTCAAAGAGCAAAATCAAAGAAAACCGACTGCTGTATTATGTTTCTGGATATTGAGAAAGCGTACGACAATATCGGCCATAACCACTTATCCTCAGTCTTGCAGGAGCTACCTATTCCTAGGAAACTGATTGAAATAATAATTAAACTCCAAATAGGCAATGTTACAAAAGTTGAAACTCATAGAGGGAAAACAAAGGACATCAAAATACAAAGGGGTGTAATGCAGGGATCTCCATTGTCACCCACTTTGTATAACCTATGTATTGACCATATCCTCTCTGAAATGTCACAACATGCCGTAAGTGAGGAGCTAGGGTATAAGCTATGCAAGGACATGCCTTCTCTAAGTATTCTAGGATTCGCTGACGATACCATTTTAATTGGTAAGAATAGAGAAAGTGCTCTTGTATTATTCGATTCGATTTGTGACTTCTTCAGAGAAATTGGATTAACTATAAATATATCAAAAACTAAAATTATTAACATTGAAAAAGGTAGATTACAAGAGGAAAACTTCCAAATATGTTCAAAAGAAATAAAATCTATAACATTTAATGAAAAAATTAAATACTTAGGAGTAAATTTTTCTGAAAGCATAGTATTTGACTCTGAAAAAACAATTAGTTCATTGATAAACAAAATTGAAAAATTAACATGTTCTCCTTTTTTAAGGTCTGAACAAAAAATGTATGTATTGAATCATAATATTTGGCCATCTTTAATATATCCTTTTCAAACCGCACCAATTAAGAAAATTACAATGAAATTCTTTGACGATGTTGATAAAGTGATAAGACAAAGGAAAGGAGGAAGGAGGGTTATTTGAGGTTAACAAAGGAAATCTTAGATCTTCCAAATGATATGCCAAATTCTATGTTTTATACAAGTACTAAAAACAAAGGGATTGGGTTATGTAAATCAATGTGGGAATCATCAATCCAACATATAAACATATGTCGCATATTAAAACAAACGGGAAACCCCTACTTACTTAATATTCGTCAATTTGACGAAGAAATTAGGTTTTGTCTGGAAAAATTGAATTTAAGTATTGAATTTTTCGAATCAAAACCCAAGATACTGCGAGAAACCTTACGAGACTTAGAGTATCAAAATTGGTGTAAACTTCCATACAAAGGGAATGGGGTGGTTCTTTTCAAAGAATGTAACAAGATCAATAAAAATTTGGCTAGAGGTTGTGGCCTCACAGAAGCTGAGTTCAAACAATACTTGAAAATGGTCGGAGACGTTATTCCTCTTAGAAGTCTTCATGGGAGATCCAGGGACGGGAACCAGTGCAGGCATTGTCCTGTATCTGAGAAATTTACTCTTGAAACTCTTGCCCACGTCCTTGGAAAGTGCCCATTTAGTAGTCTTTTACGAAATACCCGCCACCATACCATCAGAAAAATCATTGCTGATCAATTCAGAAAGAAAAGTTACGAGGTCTATGAAGAGGTCACGGCTATAGAAGAAGAGGGCTCTGTGAGGCGGAGTGACATCATTGTTATAGACAAGGAGAAAGATTTCGGTCTCATTATAGACCCAACAGTTCGTCTTGAGACAAATGAAAATCAGCCACAGGAAGTCCATGAAGAAAAAGTAAATATTTACAAGAAAACTATCCCATATTATTCAGAGAAATATAAAATATCAAAATTCGAAGTATATGGACTACTCATTGGATCAAGAGGAACAATTCCTCAACAAGTTGAGAAATTTTGGAAGAAATTCAAGTTGGAAAATCAAGTGTTATATTTAATATCTTTAACAGCCATAAAATTTTCTATTAATATTATAAGAAACCACCTATATAACAACTATCATAATTAGGTTTAATCAAACTTGCAAAATTTAATGTAATATTATTCTTTGTTCTACAGCAGACTACAATGTGTAGTAAGATTTCAATTTTTAAAATAAATTTGAATTTATATTATATAATTAATACGATTGACTAGACATTTAAACGAACATTTGATGTAGGTCGGGACAGTGGACGGATACCTGGAAAGGTTCGTGGGTGCTGTGATGAAGGTGTCAAGTCTGTGTACGGAGCCTACAGTGGCGGAGGAGGCAGGTCTGGTGTGTAACACACTGTACAAGGAACTGTTCAGCTGGGCTCAGGCTCACAACCAGCTGTCTCTGGTCAACAACAGTCTGCTGGTTCATGTAGGACTGCTCAAGGTAGGCTATAAAAACAGGATGACGGAATAGAGGTGTTACCGGTGTTCTACATACAGTAGAATTCCAATTATCTGAATCGATTGGGACTGGTCCCAATTCGGATAGTAAAAAAATCAAATGATTGGATTTTTACCGACATATATATTTTTTAAAGAAAAATTGGCCGAATCATGCTGAGGTTTTACTATTGCAAGGGTAGAACGTGTCTGCGACGATTTCGCAATCGGAAAATTTATGCTTTTGTCGATTGCGGAGTATGATTATGATTTTCTTTCACCACAGGAGATGATGGTGTCAACACGACCGTGGGATATTTACCATTTTGCCTTGATCGCGAAAAACGATGACTATGTTATCATGACCGCGGGAGACGATGATGGTGTCAACACGACCGTGGTATATATTAATCATTTTGCTGTGATCATGAAAAACTATGATATTTCTGTGACCACAGGAGATGATGACGATGTCCACACGATTGCGAGATAGATTTTGGATTTTTCCACGAACACGGCTTCTGCCTTCTTTAATAATAATTTTTATTACTGTGGTTTTAACATTTTAAATTTTTTCTGTAAGCAATTCGGATAGTTGGAGTTAGGATAATTGGAATTCTACTATATTGGGTAATTAAAATGAGAAGTAAAGAAGTTTTAAATACCAACAAGAAATATAAAATACCTATAAGCTGTCTCTTTGCTAGTGTATTTACATAACAATAAGAGAATTTCTTTTGTGCCTTTTGTGATCTATGGACATTTTCGGTACTTGACTGTCCACACAAAAGGTTGGATGGATAGCCAAAAAGATTAAAAGATTTAATAATCAAGACCCAATATAGTGTAAGTATTTGGGCATTACTTTTACCCCTTATCACCATCCAAATGGCCAATATTTTCACAAAGTTGGCCTTTTATCTCAAGCCGTGTTTTTATTCTCTTTCAATTGCAATAAATGTTCAGTATCCAGTAAATCAATCCAGTACATTGAAAGAACATTTTTTACCTTGCGTCGGTTACGGGAGGTAGTTGTAATCTCCTTGTGTACTCCTCTTTTAAAAATTGGATAAATCCTCCCACAATTCACCTGCTTCTTCTAAATTTGGAATATTTTTTCCAGGGTGAAGACAAAAAGTGGAGGGCCAGCTACAATCTGACAGCTTGCAGAATAGCTTTAGACTCTGCAATGAGTCAAAACTATTTCCCTCAAGAATCTAAAGACACCATTCGGTATTTCTTGGAGAAAAAGCCGCAAGTCATCGTCAACAAGACATTATTGTGACCTTCGCTGTGGTAGACTGTGATTTGTACATTTTAAGGGTCAGTTTTACTTTCTTAAACTTCTGTGTAATACTGAATACAGGGAATATAGTAAAAGGATGTAGCCTGGTCCAATTTATGAATTAACAAGCTTTTAACTTATTTTACAATTTTTCCACTGATCAAGTGTAAATCTGATTACCTGTGAAAATATTCTGTTCCTTAATTATTGTTAAGATTAATTGATTTGGCAACTACTGTCTCTATTCAGATCTCATATGTTATTTTAGATAGTGTAAGTTGTGCTCTCTTGAGGTTTTCTTGTAACTTGACAAAATTAACTTTCACATTTTTTTTCCAAATGCTGCAATTTGTTAACAAGTATCAACTCAACTCACATTGTGTTTTCGTTTAATCAAATTGCTTTTTATTGTTAAATGACAGTGGTTATAATTAAAATAACATCACAATCTACATATTACAGCCAAGTGTGAATTATTAGCATATTTGACAAAATGTACAAAGTACAACTACTTAATGAACAACTTATTAAAAGAGTGTTCATTTGATTCAATCAAACTTGTAAGTATTTTTACTAATGTAAAGAGAATCATTCCAATTACACCCTACTTTACCACCACTCCACTATTATAGTATCACTGTTAATTTGCTATTTATTTCAATGTTAAGTTTTGAATAACGACTTTGAATTTGTTAATTTTAATTGTTCTTTAATTGATGTGACCATTTGGATTACCAAGATTAAATATTTTGTGAAAATATGATTGGGTCAATACCCCTTGCCTTCTACGTCCTCTATATTTGACAACCAAAGGTTTATGTGTATAATTCAATAGCGTCAAATTTATGCAGATTAACCTATTCACCATATGTGTTGTGAAGACTGCTAGTCCAAAACATAAATAAATCCTAACTAAGCAACGTCTATACATGTCTATACGCACTTGATCTCTACACTACATTTTCACAAGCCGTGACTTCCTATCTCTCTAGAAAAAATAAATGGGGAACTCTGTTGAGAAGTTAAATTTCACCTCAGCAGTAGAAAACATGGGTAAAGAAACTAAGGAGGCTTTTCGAAGGAATTTTAAATTAAGAATGTGCAGTATCACAGTCCGATCCCTGTAAACTGCATAAAGATTATCATGCCTCTTTGAAACTGTTTTTACTTCTTGTTGAGCAAATTGCCCACAGGCTAGACTAAATTCTAAAAGTCATGATGGGAGCCTCAAAGCCTTTCACTCACGATGGATTAGATGTGATATCCGGGCCACTTTAATAAAGAGGTTTTGGGTTTGTTGGGGGCGCGAGGAAGAGATAGATTCCCAACAAGGTATGTGGAGAGGGTCTATAACCATAGGTATCTCTCGGGCCCATAGAGCATCACATGCAAACCGCGGGCCTGGTGATACTGCTACAAGTTCACATCGGGAAGGGAGCAGGTGCGGTTGACATATTCTTGGAGTTTGCCAAACAGAAAACATGTTATAAGTTAGGCAGTAACTTCTATAAAAGTATTGCCCATTTTATGAAAAAAAAACTGGTGATCTGCCCAATATTTTAGTCAGACTTTTGATGTACTGTTACAGAGGTTGGTGTTTTAATAGCAGTCTTTCATCAGCTTATTCTATGATGTTTGTCTATGCTGATTACACCCCTCAGGGGTAGTTGTCTGTCAACGAAATGGGAGGCCTCAACTAGGCTGGCGACCCTGAGTTACCCTAGCAATCCCCAAACCCCACTTCTTCTTTGATCTGGTTTCTGTGACCAGCATACTTCTTCTTTTGCTGGCTCTCCTTTATTGTTTGCTTTCCTATTGAAGAACTCTTCTTCCTTTCCCCTTTCTTTCACTTCTTTTTTATCTTAACCTCACTGGTGTCAAGCAACCTATGCCGAAGAGGTGAATTCCACCAGGCAACTTTGAGCCTCCTGGAATAGAATAAACTAGCCTTATCCGGGTCTCTGCCTGGGCACAGCCTTCAGCCTCGCTTAGCAGTTTACTGGTGGGTGGGAACGTTTAGATTCTAGAAAACCTAAACCCAACCTCGCATTGCTACCTAACTCTGCATTGCCAACAATGCCAACACTTCAGAGGTTAGCTCATCTAGAGCTTGCTCTGTGGTCTTTACCCCAATCTCAAATGGTGCAGATGGAAAAAAACCTCAAAGACCAGAGGAGAGAGAAGAATACCAGGCCCATCTGTCCGGATGGGAGTGGCCACTGGCCAAGCACCCTAGAGTTGCAACGTCACTCCACTTGGCTAATTAAGGACCAACCAGGTTCAACATGTAAGTGTGATGAGGGTCAAGACGTAGGGGTATTCCAGGACTCCGGTAATTATTAATGACAACCTGGAGTGTCGATTTTGACATTCTCTTGGGATATCAGCTAAAAGAAGTACATCAATTAAAGGTAGACACTCTGAGAATTTATAACAAGAAATATCCACGCCTCAGCTCCAATTCGGAAAGAGCGGCATTTATGAAGTCCCGAATGAATGAAAATCCTGAGCATTTTTCCTCCTCCACGGCCTTGTCCACCGTACGAAAAATCTGATCCCACCAGCTAAGCTTGCTGTCCACCATAACCCCAATTAAGGTACATGGCAGAACCATCGATCTCTATTATTACTACCCGATGGGCAGATAAGCGTCTAGACTGCCAGTGCAACTCCGAGGAACGAGGATCAGATCGGAAAACCCCCCACCACCGCTCCGTGCCGATGGCGTGACGTCAACCATTACCGCAACGATACGGAACTGAGTCATGAGCCTTGGTGGTGTAGTGGATAGCATGTCGGGCTAATAATCGGAAGGTGCCGGGTTCGATTCCCACTGATTGCAGTAACTTTTTGTCAACAATTTTTTTCATATCAGTAAGTTTGGTTGGTTTGGTTAGGTTATGACAGTTTAATTTTATAATTTAAAAATTATAAAATTGAATTTGAGACATTTATTTTATAATTTTATTTTTAGAACAGAACTATATTTTCGATTAGGCTTCATCCGAGTTTTTCATTATCGGCAAGTTTGGTTAGGTTATGACAGTTTAATTATATTTAATTTAAATTTAACCTACAAATGATAAGTTTTGACCACACAACAGTGATAGAGATAACAATTTTAGCGCCTCTGATCCTCGTTCCTCGGAGTTGCACTGGCAGTCTAGACGCTAGTGATGGGCAGAACGAACGGTCTGGAATTCGGTGGCCCCTAACCTCAACGACACGATGGTGTCAATCCGTTTTTTTGTGTGAAAACAGCTTCTTAGTATTACCATAGAAAAAACATGTTTTTTATCTATGGTATTACCTAAGAGGATTAAACATTAATTACCAGTCGTAGATTGATACGATACGATACGATACTAACACACTACAATGCGTACCATACTTTTAAGACGAAGATGAGTGTTGAATGAATGATATAAGAACTTTGCTACTAAGATCTGGAAATCTGGATGGAATGATTGATTAACTATTTTACACTGAAGTAGATAGAGGGGCAATTAATTGATGATAACTGATTGAAGAAAGAAATAGGAAAGAACACGTGTGATCGATCAAATTATGTAGCTGTGGTAATAGTGTTATTATTAAATTTACCTTTGTGAAGAACCACGGCCCCCTTTAACTTTATTATAATTTAATCATATATGAGTTAAAAGTGGCCGTGGTGAAGAGGCATCTTTTTTATGTCTGTTATTCCAGTTTTATTGTAAGATACATTAAGTAGATTAACTTACATTATACTGAAGGGTTTTACCTATTGAATATCTCCAGCAGCTCATTGGATAAAGCAAGGCAACACTAAATAAACATAAACTAAAGCCACTGGGTAGAAAAGACTGAATGTGCATAATGTCATTACACATTCAAAGGAAAGACATAATCAGTTTATATTATCTCCCCCTGAGAGATATATAATGAGTGAATACTTTAATGCCAACCCCGTACGAACAAAATACTCTGCTAGTCATAGATAAAACCAAAACATACTCCCTTAGGAATAGGATTATTATTAAATTATATTTGTCTATGATATTATAGAATGCTTTCAGTAAAGTAAATCAACAGCACAATGTTGTCAAATATAAAAGTTTACTCTATGCACCTTTGCAGCTGTTGTGCTATGTAGCAGAACGCAGAGATGATAGGAGAATCAAAATAACAAAAAAAGTAAAAATTATTCATGAGTGAGTGAGTGTGTGGCAGTGCTGCCACTTTTAGGGTAATTACCCTTTTTTAGGGTAATTTACTGGTCTTAGGGTAAAGTTTAGGGTAATGGTAGATTTAGGGTAATTTTAGGGTAAAACTAAAAGTTAGCATAACAATGGAAATTTTACTAAAAAAATGAAATAAACTTCAAAATTTGGCAAAAAACGTTCATTAAATACTATAGCCAAACCATCATATTCGATTCAAATCGGTTTAAATCGATTGCTATCATGAATTTTTTATAATAAGTTAGGGCCTATCCCCAGACAGCACACTTTATCCCAGGGACATCCCATAGTAGTCCCATATGTCCTGAGAATGTCTCGGGATATGTGCGCTATCCTCAGGATATCCCGCAAAATCCCGGGACGAGTACGAAATCCACAGGATATCCTACAATATACCGTAATGTCCCGGGATTTGTAAGTTAACCTCAGGATATCCTGTAAAGTCCCGGGATATGTACGAATGCCATGGGATATCCCAGAATGTCCCATGACATCCCGGGACATGTACAAAATCCACTGGATATCCTGTAATGTCCCGTAATGTCCCGGTAACAAACTGAAGAAAAAAAATACTACCACTGATGAAATGTACAGTTTATCTAAATTTAAATGTTCAACAAGGCCAATATATAATAATTTTTTTTTTTCACTTGTGCTTTCAGAAACTTGGTTTCCATCTTCAGGCTGTGTTTACACTAGTACAAAAAGTAAATATTTACTCAATAAATTAATTTTAAACAAAGTTAAAACAGACGATTTAAAGAATATTGGAAAAATAAAAAATAATATTAGAAAAATTAATCTTTTGAATTTTGGATATGTTACAGTGTTGTTCTTGATGTAATTATTTTCAGTAATTCCGAATTTATAATTGGGCCGTCTTCATTATTTAACAAATAATTTTGGTCTGTTTTTTTTTCTAAAAATAAGATTCCCACGCATTAAGATGTTGAGGTTTTATAATTTATTTGAAAAGTTTAAGGTTTCCCAGATTGAAAATATGTCTTGTTAATACTATGGCTAGCAAGGGTTGACTTTACTTTACTGACATATTACTACCACTGAGTTCAGGAAAACTAGAGTTCTATCATAGTTGTGTGGAATGTGAATTTAATTCTAACTTTAAATTAATAAAACAACAAAAAACTAATTTTAATCATATAACAATCAATTATTACAGTGTTAATCTAATGGTGATTAAATAATCTATATTCAAATACCAGTATCCTCTCCAACTACCAGAAAAACAATTCAACTACTTGAGGCCTAAACAGATAAACAGAATCATATATAGCCTATACTGTAGTATCAAAAATATTTTAAGTATTGCGACCATTGCAACTGTCGGCTACTCTTTAACCACTTGAAAACACCCATAATCAACAAGCGCAGATAGCTCAGGAGGTAAGGTAAGAGGCTCACAAGGCGAAGGTACCAGGTTCGAAACCCGTCTGGGCCAAAAACTTTTTTCTCGTTTTTTTCTTCAAAATTTGTGTTTATTAACTATTTAATCAATTTACTAAACTTATAATTAAGCTTTTCATACTAAATCTATATTATTTTGTGTTTTTTATGTTCAGGCCCAGACCACACTTTATCCCAGGGACATCCCATAGTAGTCCCATATGTCCTGAGAATGTCCTGAAGACTACCCTGGGATGACCTCGGATGTCCCACGGATATGCGTGTGAGCTTATCCGTAGGACATCCCCGGGCGGGGACATTAGGCATTCCTGTGGATATCCTGTGATATCCCAAGTTGACCATAGGACCACTATGGGATATCTTGCATATCCTGTCGCAATATCCGTGGGATGTCCTGAGGAGAAAGTGTGCTGTCTGGGTCCTAATCGATCTTATTAATAGTTGGGAATTATCTGTTTTAGAATGTATTCGATTCTATAACACGTTATAGGCCTAATAATATATTAAATATTATTCATTACTGGGTTTGATATTTAATTATGTGGCTGAATTGAATTAAACTGGATTATTTTACAAATTGTGTCAAGAAATTACTACTACTATGTATAGATTAAAGCTTTGGTGGTACCGTACTGTATTTTAAAGATATGATTGTCCAAAACCAGTAGTAATGGGTCGATACAGTAAAAAAATGCGATAGTTCTTGATTCGATATTTTTCGCTATACGATAGTCGATAGAGCTGATCAATATCAACATTTTGTTCTTCTTTCGGGTGGTTTTTTAGAATCGAGTATAATTTTACGTAAATTGATTGATATTGGAATTTTATTTAGTATAATTAACCACCTTATGTAGGATTTATATGATTTTAACAATGTTTTATAGCATTAAACGCAAATATTAACATTTAGGGTAATTTTTAGGGTAACTCAAAGTAGATTTAGGGTAATTTAGGGTAATTTTAGCCCGCCTTTAGGGTAAAATCGCAGCAACGCGGTGGCAACACTGGTGTGTGGTCGTTCTTGTTCTTGTTGTTATATTATCGGTGTCAAATAAGTTCTTGTGCATTTCTAGTGGATATTCAAAGTTTTTGCTTAATTGACTATTGCTCAGAAATGTCATAGTAAATACCCACTTCTGAGTTTAGTGATCCAAGGAATCCTAGCATTTCTCACAGCGTCGCCAATTGAAACCAGCCTTCCATTGCCAGTTTCATCTTGTTTTAGTGTTTGCTTTTTGGTAAGTTATTGAAAAACTTTTGCCTAAGGGCTAAAAGTATGTATTAAATAACAACCCCTAATAGGGATTAAGCCTAACTCATTCAGCCATTTTCTGGTCGGTTTCTCCATGTCTAGTAGTTGTATAGGCCTCTACTAATCATCCTAACCTCTCAACAGGTTTGGTTTTGAGTAACGAGCATAAATAGGCCGACATGACTAATCCAATTAAACGCTTGGTCTTCCAAAAAACATTTTCTTCACGCAATGGCGCGATGAATTAAGTAAAATTTTATGTCGACTTAAAAAGGTACCGGTTTACAATCGATCGACATTTTCATTCGGTTGTTCTTGGTAACAGATACGGAAGTCTACTCCCACAGAGAACCACAAGCCTGCAGTGATGCCTTTTTGTGATGTCGCATGTTTGCAACGCTCGGTCTATAGCAAAGGCTACAGCCTAGTTAAAATTATTATATTTTTCTTGAAATATCCCAAACGCCGCATAGGCTACAAGTGACCGTTCATTTTTGTTATTGTTTTTAGGTAAAAGTAAGTCGGCCTCGGCCTAAAAAAAAATTTTTTCATAAACAGTTTCTAGGTAATTTAACAAATAGGCTATAAAAGCTACCTAGGCCTACATAACTTAGGATAATGACGGTTTGCTACAATGGTAAATTTTCATGAAATAAATGAATCCATATACATAATCCCAAAGTAGGTACCCATGAACTTTTGAGAAAACTACAAGCCACACCTTCTAAACCATATAGGCTAGGTACATAAAATGTTCACCATAACGAGAAACCTTGCACAAATCTATCCATTATTTCTTTAAGTAATAGCCCTTTCCTCTCTAAACTACGCCACAAACTCCGATAGCTGTACACCACACGCCAGCAAAGAAAGAGGCAGACAAATTTTCATTACGCGAGTCGCGAGAAACAATGACGTCATCATCTTCATCCAGAGAGGCTCCCTTCAGCGGCTTTCAATAACTCCATAGCGAAAAAAACATTTTGTTTGTTGGTTTTGCCTTAAATATTTTAACATGATCTTATTAGGAAAAAATAAGTTCATCCCTTGATTATAAGACTAGGCCTAATAACTTAAGTAAAACATAATATCCTAAAATGAACCCTAAAATAACAGAAACAAAATTTCATCAACACTAGTGCTCAGTCTCACCAACATGAACTAGAAGTAGCCTACATACAAAACAAGCTTTTACAATGTGATGTAGAAGTCTACTTGTGTTGGCGAGTCTAGGGTTACTTTAAATACCGTATGTAGGCCTACTGTATTTTACTTAGGTAGGCTATAAAAAAACCGGTCTACATATACCAACCAACCTTTATAATAAAATTGGATCTGTGTTACCGGTATGGTCCTAAAAGACTAGGCTAATGTTTAAAATGTTAAATGTTAAGTTACCTGCAGAAAATGCATATTTCCATTTACCCAGTAGTATTTCCACTCAAATTGAGTTAATCCTACCCTTGGCTACTTCGACCTGTTGATCTTTTGTTGCACCCCTCAGCTCAGTCTCACAGGCTTGTGTCATAACCTAGAAGTTGTGCGACGTTTTCTCATACTCTTCGAATGCACCTAGTGCCCCAGAACCCAAGTGGTTTTTACTTGGTTCTGCATTTTTACGGTAGTGTTTTAAAACCTCTTTACTTGTTGTGTCTCTAGTCACACAAGACCCCAGTGCCTTTGAGGCGACTTGGCTGTTTGAGAGTATCAGGCCTATATTCCCTTTCCTCAGGTTATTGTCCAGGATGGATTTTAGCACAGCACTCAATCGTCAGGACCTGCGATTGAAAGACTGCCGCAGTCCCAGGACTAAGGAGATTGGTTTTGTTACCATACACCCTCATCCCCAAACTCCCATCCTTTAAGCAGGAAACCCACTGGTCCGACACTCTCCGACACGTCACCTTCCGTCAAGGCTCCGACACCTTCCGACAAAATTACTTTGCATTATTTTAAACGGACTGTAACCCACTAGTACGACACGACACCTTCCGATCCGACACGTCACGACAACATTGCTCTCTGGGGCATTCTTGTCGGATGTCGGATCCGTCATTTCTCCACTCTGCGTGCACCAGGCCTAGATTTACTGTCTAGCTTTGTGTGTGATCACAATATGTGGAACAGATATGGAACATGTGATCACAAGAGTGTGATGTTTTTGTACAATTATTGGTTACGGAGAAAATGCAAAGAATTTTTTTTTTATTCCCATGTTATTCTTATGGAGAATTTTATAAAATATTGTAAGTTTGCTTTCTGATGGGTATATTTTGATCACAATTGGTAAATTTCTTTATTTTATACTAAGTTATTAATACTTACTAAAAACCACACTTTTTTACCCTCCCTGTAGCGATCCTAGGTACTCATAAAACCTAATGTTAATAAATACACTTAATTGAAAATCAATTCAGGTAAATAAAAATTTGCTTAGTCGGCAGGTTTGCTGCGACGGGGGTATTATTGTTTACGTTTTGTACTGTACTTTTTGCTAATTTCCCTGTAGTACAGTAAATGTTATCGGAATTATCAAGGTGGGTCTAGGAAGGTCCTTGACCATTGTAATCTCTCATACGAACAGTGATCGTCATAAATGTTATGGACTTTTTTCATTATTTGCTCCCTAACTACTGCTTGTGAACAGTATGTGATCACATGTTTCATCGTAACTGGCACTTTAGAGTGGTGGTGTATTTCTCGTCGGAGCCTGTCGGACCAATGGGTTAATGCCTTAAAATTGCGGAAGGCGTCGGAAGGTGTTGGAGACTTGACGGAAGGTGTCGTGTCGGAGAGCGTCGGACTAGTGGGTTTCCTGCTTTAGACTTCTAGCCTATCTGTATAGAATACAAGGTATGCCCAACACATATTGTGACCACGCCGCTGCCAGTCGTTCCTTACTTCTTAGCAACTTTGTAGGGAGTCTCAAAGTCATACTCTTCGGTCATTTTTTCACTTGCACTGTTAGTTCTATATCCATACTCGGTAAACCCCTTATGTACTGGTGTCCAATCCCTCGCTGAACCTTTAACTCGCCTCTGCTACTCATCTTGAGGGCTGTGATGGCCGCACGTTTCTTGACTTCCTGCCCCAGCAGAAGCATTTCCAGGATTGCTTCCAGTGCAGTTGTCAGCAGGAGTTCATGGTCCCACAGACCCCAGAGCCAGCCAATCTTTGCAGCAGTTTCAGTTTTCCGAAATCCACTCTGCTCTGTCTTTGCCTATAACACTAGGGCTGTGTATGTGACCATGGGCTTGATAATGGTCTGTTGGTCTTATAAGTCCAATATAGGCTACTTGATGGGGGCTAAGCCCCCATTTCTTACCAAATGTTCTTCTTAAGTTAATAGCTTATAATGAAGTACTGTAAATACATTTCCATATGTTATCTAAATATAGGTAGGCTTATACATAGACCTAAACAAGCAAATTTTAACAGTTTAACATCCAAAAGAATAACAACTTTTTTTTAAACTTATCTAAGGCATAATTTCTTTTTTGACATTTCTCTGTAAATATACTTAGTGTAAAAAACGCTTCAATTTATACAAATTTACTTGTTTTTATAGGGCCTATCTACAAAACTAGTTCAGAGAGAAATTGCAGAATTTTAATTTTGGGGATGCAAATGGAAAAATCAATTTTTTCCCCTAAAAAACCTCGTTCCTATCCGATCAAGCTGGTTATTGAACTCCGTATGAATAATTTATAAATAAAAAACTTTTTTCAAAACAAAACGTTTTTTAACGCACTCAAAAGTAGAAAATACTTAAATTAATTGATATATTTACATTCTTTCAAAATGTAAACATGGAACATTTGAAAGCCCATGGGGCGTAGCCCAAGGAAAATATGAAAATTAAATGATATAATATTGCATTGTCATCCATTTGTGAGCTATGTTTTAAATTTCAAGTCTCTAGCACATCGGGAACTTCGTTTGAAATTGATATAAAAATTAGTAGGAAAGCGAGCTAATAGAAACAAGCCCATGGGGCGTAGCCCAAGGGAAATATGAAAATTAAATGATTAATATTGCATTGTCATCCATTTGTGAGCTACGTTTCAAGTCTCTAGCTCATCGGGAAGTATCAAAATTTGCAAGAAAGCGAGTTAATAAAAACAAGCCCATGGGGCCCATGGGCAATATGAAAATCAAATTAAATAATATTGCATTGTCTTCCATTTGTGAGCTATGTTTCAAGTTTAAAGTCTCTAGCTCATCGGGAAGTTAGTATAAAATTGATTGCAAAATTTGTACTGGACAAGAAAGCGAGCTAATAAAAACGTTTTAATAATAAATGAAGAACACGTGGTGTATCAAATTCAACTCAATTGGCTACGATTATGTGACACATTCTATTTTTATTAACTTTTTTTGAATTCTTATCCAACTCACAATCCGCACCCTATTGTAAGTTTACGTTGGTGTCCAGCAACATGAAATGCAAAATGAGGAGCCGACAAATGGGATTCTGGCGGGTTCGTCAAAGGATTCGTCGCGCACGGGCAGCTGACGATCCCAGAATTACGGGTATTATTCTTGAAACAGGCCCCGTTCGTCACTGACCCTTCGACCACAAGGTACTGTATTGTTCCTATCGTTGAACCGTATGAGCATTTCAAACTACAGAGTGTTTAAACTACATAGAATTAGAATGTTGACAACTTTTTTCGGGAAGCCATTTTGCCATTTTACTTTTTTCAGTCAAGGCTGAAATAGGTCTCAAGTACGGAAACAGGCAGTAGGTTTTTGCACCCGATAAAACGTTTTTTTTATTAAAACAATTGAAAAACACTCTATAGATGGGATAGTACCATGCACAAGTTTGTTTATCAATAGTGCATCTTCTATAGCCTTATATTTAGGAAGTCCTAACAGCCAAGGGAAGAAAACAAATCAAAAATAGTTCGGTCGCTGTGTTTCAAAATATTATTTATACAATTCTTTGTGTAAGCTCAAATCCCTTGCTTATTACTTCAGTTG